ATACAAAAAAAATTGGCCCGGCGCCTATAGTCCCAGATACTCAGGAGGCTAAGGCAGGAGAATCGCTTGAACCCAGGAGGCGGTGGTGGCGGTGAGCCGAGATTGCGCCCTTGCACTCCAGCCTGGGTGACAGAACAAGACTCTGTCTCAAAAAGAAAAAAAAAAAAATTATACACATATGATAGACAAAACTATCAGGGGAGAAAAAAGATGAGTGGTTACATGGGTCAGTCACGGGGGTAGACGGTGTATACAGGGGTAGCAGGAGGGAATTTTGTTGGGTGATAGAACTGTTCCATATCCTGATTAGGATTATGGGTACATTAAACTATATAAATGTTAAAATTCCTAGACTTACGTAACAAAAAGGGAAAACAGGTCAATTTTACTGTATGATAATTTAAAGGAATATAAATTGTTCCTCTATTTCTCCTCTATAAAGATTCAAGAAAGAGATCCTATATGAGGCTCACCATATTTACACAGGTGTCCAAAACAGGGAGGAGAGTTAAGCTTCACAAATAAAGACAGGCAATTTTGGGCCACCAAATAGCCCTGTGTATTTTTAATCTTTCTGCTACAAAATGCACTCTTGTACAATAACATGAAATTCCCAGACCCGCAATAAATTATTAGAAAAATTGTACAACGTACCAGCTAGGCATGGTGGCCTGTAATCTCAGCACTTTGGGAGGCCAAGGCGGGAGGATCACCTGAGGTTGGGGAGTTTGAGACCAGTCTGACCAACATGGAGAAACCCGTCTCTACTAAAAATACAAAATTTGCTGGGCATGGTAGCGCATGCCTGTAATCCCAGCTACTCGGGAGGCTAAGGCAGGAAAATTGCTTGAACCCAGCAGGCGGAGGTTGTGGTGAGCTGAGATTTTGCCATTGCACTCCAGCCTGGGCAACAAGAGCGAAACTCCATCTCTCTCTCTCTCTCTCTCTCTCTCTCTCACACACACACACACACACACACACACACAAACACACAAAATTATACGACACACCATAAATTAAATGTAAGTAAAATCACCCATCAACATGAAACAAAACCCACTGAAGAAGATGAGGTGCCACCACTCATAGGGATCTGTCTGGGCGCTGCCCTGCTGGGGAGGGGTGCACACAGAATGGGGCAGTCAGAAGAGCATTGAAGGCACACAGTGTGCAGCCTGGGGGCCAATCCTGCTTTCACCATGGCCCCCTGTGCCTCAGTTTCCTCACCTTAGATTCCACTAGTAACTACTTTCTAGGGTTGTTGTGCCATTGGTGCATTAATACATACAAAATACAGGCTGGCCTACGCTACATGCTTGAGAAAGGTTAGCCACTATCATCCCAGGGGGAGGAGTGTATGTAGTGACGTGAAGGCCATGAGAAATGTAGGCATGGAGTGAACAATGAGAGCTGAATGTCTGAAATCACCAACAATTGTACTAAGGTGTTGGGAATTGTGGGTAATTTTTTAATCCCTTACAGACTTCCTATAATGCAATCATCTTTCTTTTTGGGGGTAAAAGAGGAGGAAAATACTCAGCCCTGTCTATAATATTTTCTGTGTTGGACTAGGCCCCTCACCTCTTTGGAAGAGTCTCGGTGATTTTTTAACAGCTTCCTGTGTCTACGGTTAGTACTCATGCTGGTGAAGGATAAGTGCATTCTCATGGAAGAGAACAGGAGTACGTGTGGGCGTGGGGCCAGGGGGGAACTGGAAAAAAGAAACGGGGCCATGCTCCTGGTCACTTAGACTGTCCCTAGGAAGAAGAGAAAGAGTAAAAGGGGGAAAAAAAGCAAAAGTCCCCTCCCCTGCATCACACACAGGCATAAGATACCAAGAACGTCAGCTGGAAGTAGAAGAGCAGGCTCCAGCATGTGCTGACCCTAAATTGCATCTCACATTTTTGCCTGTTTGTTTCACCTTTCCCAAATTTTAAACAAAGGGCTGTTTCTACACATGGACCTGTCTCTTGGGATGAGGACTAGTGTTTTTCTAAGCCGACTTCCCCCAGGAAGGCCCTCAGTTGTCATTCTTGTCATCACGGCTCACTGTAACTCCATCAGTCACCTGTGACCTGTGGTTATTAAGTTCATAAGTAACTGCAGGTCGGCGCACTTCAGTCTGAGGTTCTGCTTCTCTCTAGTTTCTCCGTGCTGGAAGGATTCAGGGCAGGGGATGCTGCCCCTCTTAGGGGCACTGCTGAGGCAAGCATGCTGGCCTACCAATTCCCAACACGTCTTCTGATCCTGAGGATGGATAGACTCATGATAAAGAGAAGATGAATGGAGTGAGCAAGTTGACCCTCAGTAAACAACTAGAAAGCAACTCCATGCAGCCCCCACCGGGGAACTGAAAGGCACCCTGCATCCAGAGATGTTATAAGGAACAAGCCAAAAAGAGGGGACTCCAAAAACAAGAAGCTTCGCTGACAGCACACGGGGCCCAAACATCTTTTAGAAGGAATGTGGCTTCACTGACAAGAAGATGCTCAATGACTGGGTGTGGGGGGTGGGGGGAAAGGGAACTCACATCTCTCTGCAGCAATCCCTCCTTCTAAGCGGCAGAGCCCGCAGCATATTTCAATCACCATCTCTGATCTATCTGCCAACCTTCTCCAGGTTACTGAAACAAAAAAGGCCTGGTCCTGCCACCATGAGGTTCTGCATCTGTGCACGGACACCACACCCCCCAGTCTAGTTACCTTGCACACTTCCTGCCCCTATTCCCCCGCTGGGCTCTGCCTGGCCCACTGGGCATTTGAGCCCCTGTGTTCCTGGTGCCCACGGCTCCCTCACTGTGATTAACCAATTGTCTGTCTCCTGTTCTCCCCTCACTCACCACCAGCAGGTCAGCTCCGTGGGGCAGGAACCACATCTGTCACGTTCCCTCCAGCGTCCTCAGAGCTCAGTGCCCACCTCAGAGTCAGCACTTGTTCACAGAGTGAACTAATGAACTCAATAAACCTTCTTTTTTTTATTTTTCTCAGATGGAGTCTCACTCTGTCACCCAGGCTAGAGTGCAGTGGCACGATCACGGCTCACTGCAACCTCCGCCTTCCTAGTTCAAGTGATTCTCCTGCTTCAGCCTCCCAAGTAGCTGGGATTACCGGTGCCTGCCACTATACCTGGCTAATTTTTGTATTTTTTCATTAGAGATGGGGTTTCTTCATGTTGGTCAGGCTGGTCTCGAACTGGCCTCAAGTGATCTGCCCACCTCGGCCTCGCAACGTGCTGGGATTACAGGCGTGAGCCACTGCACCTGGGCAGAACTTAATAAACCTTCTTTGGTTAACAGTTTGTGAGTGAGTTTCATGGCACCGCTTCACTTGGAAAAGGGACCTGGCTGACCCTAGGCCACTGTCACCCCAGGTTTGTAGATACCTTGGAGTGTGCAGATCTCCACCACACCAGTGCTGCCTGGGACATTTTCCCCTCTATGTTTTGTCTGCAGAGCCAGTGGGAGTGAGTTTTCATGGTCCCTAAGAACTCATTTCCTTGCACTTTCATCCTGTGGACTCATGAGACCATCAAATAAGAGCAGCAAGAATTCTTTCCCGCAGCCATTGCTGATGCAGTGAAGGAAGCAGTTGTTCCCAACCGCCCTACTGCACTCAGCGGTCCTGATACTGAAGGCAGCTAAAGCGACAAAGGTGGGGTGTGTCTGAGAATGCCAAGGTGTAGACTGGGTGGTGCGGTTCCTTCCCAGGACCTGTGGTTTCTTGCGGCTGTGATTCAGGGCAGTGATGATCTGGAGTGACTTTTGCCCTTTTGCCCAGTCAGAGAATGACTGTTGACAGAGGCCAGCCACACCCTGTTCCCACATGTGTCCCAACCAGAACGCTGCAGGATCGCTGCCTTTTGCAGCAGACCGAGAAGGTGCGTGCAAGGCAGGAAGGGCGTCCTGCTTAGCCAGGCACGTAGTCAGGACACACGCACACTGCCTGCTCCCCGCAGTCCACCGTTTGTCCACAAAACGTAACAGGAGGATACTGTTTTCGTTTCAGATAAGGAGGCCTAGGAAATGAAAGACACAACATCCCCAGTGGCTATGGTTCCTTAACGCTACAACCCTCGAAGTCAATACTGAAAATTCACCCTGAAGAAAGGCGGGCGTGCCCGTGGTCCTAAATTTCCTAGATGATCTGTAACTGCCTCTACAGCTACATCCAAAATTCCCAGGGCGTCACAGTACTCACGGTGGGTAAGTCAACGTAGGGAGTAAAATGTTACAAACGTTTTTCAGAACATCGGTTGTGCAGTCCTCTTGGGTCACCAACACTTTTTCAAAGGTTGAAATCCAGAATGGGGGCCGGGCGCGGTGGCTCAAGCCTGTAATCCCAGCACTTTGGGAGGCCGAGATGGGCGGATCATGAGGTCAGGAGATCGAGACCATCCTGGCTAACACAGTGAAACCCCATCTCTACTAAAAATACAAAAACTTAGCCGGGCGAGGTGGCGGGCGCCTGTAGTCCCAGCTACTCGGGAGGCTGAGGCAGGAGAATGGCGTGAACCCGGGAGGAGGAGCTTGCAGTGAGCTGAGATCTGGCCACTGCACTCCAGCCTGGGTGACAGAGCGAGACTCCGTCTCAAAAAAAAAAAAAAAAAAAAGAAATCCAGAATGGGCTCTGTAAAATTTCTTTTAGGAGAGCCATCTTCAATGGCCTTCCCTTGGTCTGCGAGCTCTGGGGAGTATGCGGCCATGAGGGGTGTGAAGTGCAGAATCAGGAGCCTGGGCCACCCAACTCAAGTTGGTAAAGCTTTGTCCATAAGACTGTGCACACAGCCTCTTACCCCACCGTAACGCAGGATAATAATACCTGGAGCAGGCCTGCTGTGAGGATAGACCCCACATTTCAACCCCTGGACACACAGGGAGCTCTGAACAAAGATCATTGTCCTCTCCTTTCTGGCTTCACTTTCAAGGTTAGACGATTTGGTTGTCCTGACTAAGTCACATAAGCCCTGAGAAGCGTTCAGGGGTAACACAAGGAGATCATTACCTTTGGTCCTGTCTCCAATCGGGAATAAAGTAAGTAAGTATGCAGGTCCCCGTATTTCATGAAGGGTAAAATTACCATAGGCTTTGGGATGCCTTGAGAGCTCATTTCTATACATACACCTGAAATGACAAACACAGCATCAATTACAAAGAGCCCTTGTTACTGTGACCAGAACAGCCCTGCAGGACCACTGGCCAAACTGAAGCCACGTGTTACCAAGTTAACAGTTTAAAAAACCCAAGAGCTCCTCACTCACACTCTGTTCTAGAAAATGGAACACACACAGGGTCCACTACTTTTTTTTTTCCCCCCCTTTCAGATTAATGAGGGCATGAGGGCTCTCACAAATCAAACTGTAACAACTATAGCCATCTAGAAACCCAGGAATTCCTGTTAGACTGAGTCTGAGGGGTAGTGACCCCACAAGATTTAAGGGCGAACTAGTTTCATGTGATAGCTATTTAATCATGTGAAAAAGTCTACTGCAAATGCTTAAACTAGTAAAACAACTTTGAAGGGCGGTAGGTAACATTCACATCCCTGAATTTTAACAGTTTTGTAGAGGAGAAGCTACAATATCATTTATCATGGAATCTGAGAGCCAGAGGCTGTCACCTGATCCCAGGCTTGCAAAGCTCCTGCACTCTGTGGTGTGATCACAAAGTGAGATTGTTCTCATAGTCGGCTAAAGCCAATAGCGGTGAATGAATAACAGTAGTGTATTTGACATAATACTGTATACAAACATTGATTTTCACATCTCTCTGCAGTGTCAATCATATAAAACTTTGAAAGATCTCAAAAGAATTTAGCGTGCAGTGTATCCAGTCACAGGATGGCAAAACAAAAACAAAAAACCAAGGCTAGCAGAAAATTCAATTATTTCCAGGTTACTCTTCTCTCTTGGGACAGAGTCACTTATACAGCATCCATTCCATACTTAATCTCCTCTTTTGTAATTTTTGGGTAACGGAGCTGCAAAGCCAAATTATATTAAATCACATTCTATAGAACTGCTAAATCATATTCCATGAAATCATCAATGTACCATAATCTTAAGAAATCAGTACTTTCTTTTTTTTTTTTTTTTAGACAAAGTGTCCCTCTTGTTCCCCAGGCTGGAGTGCAATGGGGCGATCTCGGCTCACTGCAACCTCCACCTCCTGGGTTCCAGCGATTCTCCTGCCTCAGCCTCCTGAGTAGCTGGGATTACAGGCACCTGCCACCATGCTTGGCTAATTTTTTTTGTATTTTTAGCAGGGACAGGGTTTTACCATGTTGGCCAGGCTGGTCTGGAACTCCAGACCTCATGTGATCCACCTGCCTCGGCCTCCAAAAGTGCTGGGATTACAGGCGTGAGCCACCACGCCTGGCCGGAAATCAGTACTTTCAAATAGGTTAATAAATTATTTCTCAAAGATAACCTGTGGAATTTGTCTACTTTTTCAGCTTTATCCCACTGCTGTGTAACTCATGTATAACCTTAAATTCATAAAAATTGTAACACGGCCACCTCTGTGTCTTGCCTTTGAGTAACCGAGGATAATTTAATTCATACTCTCCAGAATTCTGTAGAAAACTCAAATCATTCCTGAGCCCATCAGTGTCCAGAAAATGCAAGCTCATGATTACTATCGGCCTCAGAAAACATCATTGTGAAGAGAAGTCTGGGTGGAAACCTCAATGTTATAGGTTATGTTGGGGTTATACAAAGTGTAAACGTATCTACACCAGAGATCTTTCCCTTTGGCACAGAGCAGATCAGGAGAGCCCCTTGGCCACCCACTCCCACATTTCTCAGAAATACCTAGAAGTCGAATGACATTTGGGTGGCTGAAATCTTTCATGCACGCTGCCTCACTGAGAAACTCCTCGATCTCCCGCTGTGAAAAGTTGTCCACTAAAGGAGAAAAAAGAAAAGGTTAAGTATGGATAATTCACTCAATTAAGGGGAGGGGGTGGGCAACAGCAATTCTGTTCTCTAAAATCCAGGCCAGGAAGAGATGAAACTATAGAGACAGGAAACAGATGGGTGGTTGTCACGGGCTAGTAGGGGTAGGGAAGAGAAGACGGGGGCAAACAGGCAAAGCACAGGGGACTTTTAGGGCCAAGAAATAATTCTGTAAGATACTGTAGTGGTGGATGCATGACACTACACATTTGTCAAAACCCACAGAGTTGTACAACACCAAGAGTGAACCCTAATGCAAAATATGGACTCTGGTTAATAATAATGTATCAGTATGGGTTCATCAATTGCAAAAAATGCAGCTCAGTAATAAAAGACATCAATAATAGGAGAGATTGTGTGTGTCAGGAGGGGACCTATGAGGCATTCTCTGTACTTTCTGCCCAACTTTTCTGCAAACCTGAAACTGCTCTAAAAAGTTAAAGTCTAATGGTAAAGAAAAAAAATTCCCAAAAAACACACAAAAAACCCCAAACCAAAATCAAGAACAATTCTAACTGATCTGTTGCAATTATATTTGCCTTTTTTTTTTTTTTTTTTGAGACAGAATCTTGCTCTGTCCCCCAGGCTGGAGTGCCGTGGCAGGATCTCGGCTCCACCTCCCAGGTTCACATCATTCTCCTGCCTCAGCCTCCCAAGTAGCTGGGACTACAGGCGCCCGCCACCACACCCGGCTAATTTTTTTTTTTTGTATTTTTTCGTAGAGACGGGGTTTCACCGTGTTAGTCAAGATGGTCTCGACCTTGTGATCTGCCCACCTCGGCCTCCCAAAGTGCTGGTATTACAGGCATGAGCCACCGCGCCCAGCCTGTTTTTTTAAAAAAGAAAGAACCCACACCTCTCCCTTTCTGTTGGTGTGTGTCCTGCAAGTCTGGTTGCTCAACCACACCTTATAAGCCGGATGCATTTTCACACCACGTTTTTTAAATTAAATTGGCTTAAGAGAGACATTTGAAATTCTGTATTACGCTAAGTGAAATAAGCCAGTCACAAAAGGATGAACATTGTATGAAGTACCTAGAGAGTCAAAATCAGAGACAGAAAATAGAATAGTGCTTGCTGGGGCTGGGGAGAGAGGGTACTGGGGAGTCATTGTTCAGTAGGTGTAGAGTTTCAGTTTTGCAAGATGAAAAGTTTTGGGGCTGAGCGCAGTGGATCATGCCTGTAATCTCAGCACTTTGGGAGGCCAAGGCGGGTGGATCACGAGGTCAGGAGATCGAGACCATCCTGGCTAACAGGGTGAAACCCCGTCTCTACTAAAAATACAAAAAATTAGCCGGGCGTGGTGGTGGGTGCCTGTAGTCCCAGCTACTCGGGAGGCTGAGGCAGGAGAATGGCATGAACCCAGGAGGCGGAGCTTGCAGTGAGCCGAGATAGCACCACTGCACTCCAGCCTGGGCGACAGAGCGAGACTCTGTCTCAACATAAAAAAAAAAAGAAAAGTTTTAGAGATGGATGGTAGTGATGGTTGTATAACATTATGAATATGGCTCTTAATATCACTGAACTGTATACTTAAAATGGTTAAGATGGTAAATTTTACATTATGTATATGTTGCCCCAATTAAAAACAAATAAATAAAACAAAAAGTCAGGTTTGCCTTCGGGAATTTGCATTAACAGTGTATAACTACTGATTAAAATCATGCACGAGGGCATCTAATGCAGTGTCTGTATCATCCTATGGGCTTAATATATATTATTCTTCTTTCTACTGAAGCAAAGTTAGAAAAATTCAAAAATTTTTTTAATTAAAAAAAAAAATCTATACATCTGCAAAAATTTGCCCTCACCTATTCCTTTTGCTGCAAACAGCCAGGTGGGGGAATAGAGGTGCAGGGCTCTGCCTGCAGACTCTTCCTTGGGGGGTCCAACCTGCAAGTAAATGTAGCTGAGCCTGGGGATTTTGAAGCTAGAGATTATTCTCTCAATCTTTGACAATTAGCAGGGGTGTAATCCCTATGCAAGTTACCCTAATGAAATTAAATAACTGCAGAGCCAAGCCAGAGAAAAAGGGGGTTCCAGGCCCAGCTCCTTCCACCAGGTTTCCTAATATGCGTGCCTATATCCCTAAATAGGGATTATGGAAGGATTCCCCACAGACACACTGTGAGGCTCAAATAAAATCACGGAAGAGCAGGAATGGTGCAGAATATGGCTCAGTGCTCGGTTCAGCTCCAGTTAGTATTCTGACTTCAGGGTGCTTTAGTTTCTGGGGGCTAGTTCCTGAACCTCCTTTTCGGTTATGTTCATTTTCTCTTCTTGTTGTCCTGATGAAATGCGGGAATAACTGCAATGTCCTTTGGCTAACGGTGAGTATCGCATAAATATTAGCCATTACGGTCTACTTAAAAAGCAAAAAGCATCGGTTCATGTGGCTTGTTGGTTATTGTGGTTCCTTTTCATAACTGAATTAAGCTTCAGCCTCCAGGCCAGGTGCGGTGGCTCACACCTGTAATCCCTGCACTTTGGGAGGCCAAAGTGGGCGGATTACTTGAGGCCAAGAATTCAAGACCAGCCTGGCCAACATGGTGAAATCCCATGTCTACAAAAAATACAAAAATTAACCAGACATGGTGGTGCATGCCTGTAATCCCAGCTACTTGGGAGGCTGAGGCGGGAGAATTACTCGAACCCAGAGGCAGAAGTTGCAGTGAGCCGAGATCGTGCCACTGCACTCCAGCCTAGGCGACAGAGCAATACTCTGTCTCAAAAAGAAAAAAATAAATAAACTTCAGCCTTTTCATTTAAGAGTCTCGGAACATGCTTATAATCTAACTTATGCTTTAATGTCCAGTAACTAGTGGATTTAAATTTTAGGAAGAATCCAACTTTACTTTATTCCCTGATCAAAAATAGTATTGAATAGGTACAAGGGGTTAATAAGGAAGCAACACCAAGAATATTGACAAACTGAGCACCAAATAATCTCCATCCATGATTCGTGATGAAGACTGTGGGTGAAATGCCATATGACCACAGTCTATTTTCTAAGTTCCCCAGTGATAGGCCATGACCAGCCAGACACCTATCGAATCAAACTTAGACAGCTGTGTGTCCTTCCTGGGAGAAGGACATGGAGATGAAATGCTACGTTGCTCTGCCGGTGAAATCTGGTCATCTTATGGTAATGAAGAAGCCCAGCACAACCTGCCCCCTTTCTAGCTACTTCAATTAGACAAGTCAGCAAGTCACTATAGTTTCCTTATCTATATAGATTTTGGGACGGGTGCGGCGGCTCACGCCTGTTATCCCAGAACTTTGGGGGGCTGAGGCAGGTGGATCATTTGAGGTCAGGAGTACAAGACCAGCCGGGCCAACATGGAGAAACCCCATCTTTACTAAAAATTCAAAAATTTAGCCAAGTGTGTTGGTGGGTACCTGTAATCCCAGCTACTCAGAAGACTGAGGTGGGAGAATCACTTGAACCCAGGAGGTGGAGGTTGCAGTAAGCCAAGATGGCGCCACTGCACGCCAGCCTGTGTGACACAGTGAGACTCCATCTCAATTAAAAAAAAAAAAAAGATTTGAGAGGGCCTAGACTGTATAGATTTTAGAGTGTCCTAACTGGCATCTAGCACTATTTTATTTATTTATTTTTTTATTATTATACTGTAAGTTCTAGGGTACATGTGCACAATGAGCAGGTTTGTTACATATGTATACATGTGCCATGTTGGCGTGCTGCACCCATTAACTCGTCATTTACGTTAGGTATATCTCCTAATGCTATCCCTCCCCCCTCTCCCCTCCCCACAATAGGCCCCCATGTGTGATGTTCCCCTTCCTGTGTCCAAGTGATCTCATTGTTCAATTCCCACCTATGAGTGAAAACATGCGGTATTTGGTTTTCTGTTCTTGCGATAGTTTGCTGAGAATGATGGTTTCCAGCTGCATCCATGTCTCTACAAAGGACACGAACTCATCCTTTTTTATGGCTGCATAGTATTCCATGGTGTATATGTGCCATATTTTCTTAATCCAGTCTGTTACTGATGGACATTTGGGTTGATTCCAAGTCTTTGCTATTGTGAATAGTGCTGCAATAAACATACGTGCATCTAGCACTATTTTTGTCAACAGTGTAATTTGTTCTCCTCCACACTGACATCAAAGTGAACTTTCTGGAACGTAACCTGCTCTGCTCTTACTTGGTTAAGACTCTTTTTTGTTTGAGACTTGACTCTCACTCTGTCACCCAGGCTGGAGTCCAGTGGCGTGATCTAGGCTCACTGCAACCTCTGCCTCCTGAGTTCAAGTGATTCTCCTGCCTCAGCCACCTGGGATTACAGGTGCGTGCCACCATGCCCAGCTAATTTTTGTATTTTTAGTGGAGACAGGGTTTTGCCATGTTGATCAGGCTCGTCTCAAACTCCTGACCTTGTGATCCACCCACCTCAGCCTCCCAAAGTGCTGGGATTACAGGCCACCGCGCCCAGCTGGTTAAGACTCTTAATAGCGCTCTACTCCTTGCAGGATAAAGCAGGTTCTTGGCTATGATTTACAAGACCCTCCCTGCCCCACTGCTGGCTCTCTTCCCATCTTGCTTGGAAGTTCTAGCTTATGATAGCAACTCTTCATATGCCTTGACCAAGTATTTCTCTTCTTTCTGGGGAACTTACTTTCCAGGCAGCCCACAGCTTCCTCAGGGCCATGCAATCATCCTCAAATGAGGAAGTGGCCCCACCACACTAGACAGGTCGGCCAGAACAACCCCTGGGGTGAAATGTTGCCATCAGATCACCACTGCCTCAGCAATTCATGCTCTCCTCTGGAGTTGTTAGCTCTACTAGATGAGAGAGAGTGAGAGAGAGACAGTGAGAGAGAGAGAGAGAGCAAGACAGAGAGTATGTATGCACAGGCATGCAAGGTTAGTAAAACTTAAAAAAATGTTATTTTGCTCGGCCGGCGCGGTGGCTCAAGCTGGTAATTCGGCAGCTTGTTGGAGCCGAGGACGGAGTGGCATCACGGAGGTTCGAAGATCTGAGACCAGTCCTGGCTAACACGGGTGAACCCCGTCTCTACTAAAAAATACAAGAAACTAGCCGGGCGATGATGGCGGGCGCTGTAGGTCCCAGTATTGGGGAGGCTGAGGGCAGGGAGATGCGGTGAACCCGGGAGGCGGAGCTTTGCGTGAGCTGAGGATCCGGCCCACTGCCTCGCAGGGCTCAGAGCGAGACTCCGTCTCAAAAAAAAAAAAAAAAAAAAAAAAAGTTATTGCCTTGAGTATAAAAATGTGCGCCGGAGGCACGTGGGCTTTCACGCTGTAATCCAGCACTTTGGGGAGGCTGAGGTGGGCGGATCACAAGGTCAGGAGATCGAGACCATCCTGGCTAACAGTGGAAACCCGTTCTCTACTAAAATACAAAAATTAGCAGGCGTTTGTGGCCAGGCAATGAGTTCCGTACTTGGGAGGCTGAGGCAGGAGAATGGCGTGAACCTGGAAGGCAGAGCTTGCAGTGAGCTGAGATTGCACACTGCACTCCAGCCTGGGCGACAAAGCAAGACTCTGTCTCAAAAAAAAAAAAAAAATAAAAAAACAACCCACAAAAGAATATGTAATGCATGCATGAAGAGCTCATTATAGTAATTCCCCCTTGGTGACCAGTGTTACTCATTGCCTTCTGACCCACTGGCAACTGAGATTGTGACATATGGCCTCATGGAGCACCCAATACTGAAGCAACTGCCCACCCCAGAAGAATGGGATTCATCATTGATAACTCACACTTCATGGTCTTCACTGCCACTTTCTGAGAGGTCCCATCTTCCTGCTTAAGATTTCCTTCCATTACAGACCCAAACTCTCCTGTGAAGTGAAAGAACTCTGTATGGACACTGTGCAAATTCTCCCCTGACCACAGAAATGCTACAGTGCCAGGGCTGCTGGCTTCACGTGGTATGAGAGCATCTCACCCACGGGTAGCCAGGCAGAGCCAGCCCAGGCCACCCGCATCGCAAACCAGGGCGATGCACCGCACTCTAGTCTCCTGCTTGTCACGAGCTTGGGTGGCTTGGGCCTACCTTTGCTCATCACTTTATTAAGCATTATAACCGATCCAAGACACTTAGAAGAGAACATGAAAAATACAATTGAAGTTTCTAAAGCACAAACTCTTAATACCATTATCATTCATCCTAAGAACAACTTAACAAGTTAAATATGTATTTTCATTTTTGTTCCTAATTAGAAAGATGCCAAGAACAATAAACTTAAGAACTAGAGGAATAATCTTAAAGTACGTAGGAAACTAATCAATGAATTACATGCTTTTCAATGAAGAACGAAAATTAATATTTTTCAAGGACCTGTATGTGCTAGGCATTGAAGAGAATCTTTTCATTTGCCAGATCTGAGTTTCAAAAATCAATAGTCTATCATTTTAAATAATAAAATATAACTATCCATAGTATCACTCAGAGTCCTAAGATGGTATTTTATTTAATAAATACATGTTAAAGAACTATTCTAAACTGCTTACCTTTTTGTCCCACATTTTATTAGAATTACTTTAAACTGCTTACCTTCGCCCAGAATTTTTCCAAGAATTAGAAGATTCCTGTCAATCACAACATCTTCTAGTTTATTTTGTAGTTCCTCGCTGACTCCCAAGCTATGTACTGAAAAAGGAGTAATTTAGTATGTATAAAAATGGTCAGCATGCTTTCTTTCACTTAATAACTAAAATGAAATAAAGTCCTGTATAATAAACATTCCTGCCGGGCGCAGTGGCTCAAGCCTGTAATCCCAGCACTTTGGGAGGCCAAGACAGGCGGATCACGAGGTCAGGAGATCGAGACCATCCTGGCGAACACGGTGAAACCCCGTCTCTAAAAAAATACAAAAAAACTAGCCGGGCAAGGTGGCGGGCGCCTGTAGTCCCAGGTACTCGGGAGGCTGAGGCAGGAGAATGGCGTAATCCCGGGAGGCGGAGCTTGCAGTGAGCCGAGATCTGGCCACTGCACTCTAGCCTGGGCGACAGAGCGAGACTCCATCTCAAAAAAAATAAAATAAAATAAAATAAATATTCCTTATTTATTTATTTATTTATTTATTTATTTATTGAGCCAGAGTCTAGCTCTGTTGCCCAGGCTGGAGTGCAATGGCACAGTCTTGGCTCACTGCAACCTCTGACTCCTAGGTTCAAGCGATTCTTGTGCCTCAGCCGGCACAAGTATCTGGAACTGCAGGCACGCACCACCACACCCAGCTAATTTATGTATTTTTAGTAGAGACGGGTTTCATAATGTGGGCCAGACTGGTCTCGAACTCCTGACCTCAAGTAATCTGCCCACCTCGCCCTCCCAAAGTGCTGGGATTACAGGCGTGAGCCACCACGGCCAGCCCCTTTTCTCATTTTGTATCTATTATTTCTCTCCCCAAATTGCCAGTAATGAAACTTCATACTTTATTATGATTAAACTAAGTATAATGAATCCTTCAGGGCAAGGTTAATTCTGAAGAATTACAAAAATTAGAACCGTATTTCTCTTTCTGTAGTGTGGTAGCAACAGCCGGCAATCAGATTCATGTAGGGGTGGTTTGCCTTTGACTTAAAGGGGTAAGGAAGGTAAGTAAGTCAATAGGTACTTTCTAGTGAATTCTTTACTATTAATATTATACCCTTAACTACAGTATACAAAAGAACCAAACTTCCCCTACCCTCCCATGCCATGGATGGAGTCTCACAAACCACAGAAAACATCTAGAGAACAAGCTCTTATTTTACATACTGTATATGAAACCTCATTATAACAGCATAGCTAGGGCTAAAATGAGCACTTTGAGGAACTGGAGAATAAGATTTTCTATAATAAAATATGTAATATAGTAAGGTATATAATAGATGTGTTGTGTTGGCGACAAGAGAAATTAACCAGAAGGAGACCAGTTCAACAACTCTTGGCAAATGATTCAGTCTGGACCATAGTTAAGGCATCAACAAGCTCTTGAAAGAAAAAAAAAAAAATGTGGATAATTAGGACACATTAGTTCTCCGAGAAAAAACTTTATCCAGTGGTTCTCCAATAAAGGAGAGAAAGTGGTCTAAATGACAAATTTTAAAATTTTAAATTAAAAAAAAAATTGAGGATATCTAAAAGTCAAAACTTACAGACTAGAAACGTAAAGCAACTAATAATATTCTACACCAAGCAAGTTTCTATTTCATAGCAACCTGTATTCCGTCATTTTCACAGATTTTCTTTACTGGGGGCAAACATCCAGAAGCATGAATTTGTTAATATTTGCATGTTCTTTCTATACTTTTTCTGAAATTATTCAGGAACACTAGTATCTGTTTAGTTCCACTGTTTAAACCAGAAGCCCCCACTCTCTGATTCAGCAAAGCTCAAACCATAATTACTACAAAGCATGTTGGCACATCATCCTCGGAGTTGGTTGCCAGGAAAACAGGAAATGAGGCTCGAGATTATGTCCGCTAGTTATAAGTTTTCTTTAAATCCCTGACCTCTACCCATCTTCTGTCACCCCCAGAAGGTTCCTCTTTTCTGCCACATTTCATGACATTAGGAGTCCTTTTAACCCCAGGTTAAGCTCCTGATTCCAGTAAATTAGCCCGCAGAGCTGTGCATAGCAGTATCTACTTGCGGCTTTTAAAGACATTTTGTACATTAAAAATATCCATTCGTCTTCAACACCTTTGGCTTTTGTTAGAAATCTGTCTGTTGTTCTTTCTTTGTTCTCAACTATTTTAACTTTTGCCAAAAAGGGAAATGAAAGCCAACTTACAGGTAAGTTCAATGGCTCGCCGACAGAAGGACTTCTTTGCTATATAATTTACCACTAATTCAGAATCCTCCTCTGTGAATGCATTCCTGGGTAAATGAAAACAAAGATACTTCACTATAAAAACAGGGCTACTGGGGCAGGTGCTGATTCCACAAGGATGCTACAGAGCTTCCCCTTTTCAACGGGCTCTTATACAACAAAAACTTTCCCCCTAGAAGAAATATGTTTCTTTCCTTTGATTTATTTTAGACTTACTTGGCAATATTGAAACTACTCTAGCTAGGTACCATCAAGAACAGAGAATAACAGACAAGCTCCCAGTGGCCAAAGCTGTAACAATCTGAGCAAGAAACTAAAGTAATACTAGACTATGGAGTATAAAATGAATATCAATGAGTTCATACTTATGAAAATATGATTGAATGAATGAATGGAACAAAACACACCAATCTCCTGTGGTGAAGGATTCCAAATATTTTATGTAGCTAGTAAGGGGTGGAGGGAGTTAAATCCTTACGCTGTGACTATGGGCTTGCATAGGGACTTGCTTCCAAAGAACAGTAGGGAAAGGGAGAAAAAATAACTTCATAGTAGAGAAACCCAGCAAATACTACTTCCGCCAGGTGATCAATGTCAACATCAGCAGTGAAAAATCATGTTAATATGCACCTTTGATAAGAAGTGATGACAATGGCACTTTAATTCTGTGGCTCTTCCTCTCAATCACCCATAACCCCTGCTCATTATCAGCAAAACATTGAACAAATTGCAACAGAGGGGCATCCTACAAAACCCCCAACTAACACTTCTGAAAACTGGCAAGATCATCAAAGATAAGAAAGGTCTAAGAAACGGCCACAGCAAAGAGGAGCCTAAGGAGATGTGACGACTGACTGTAAAATGTGGCGTCCTGGATGGGATCCCAGAACAGAAAAGGGACATTAGGTGAAAATTAAGGAAATCTCAAAGTAGAGATGTTAGCTAATGGCAGTGTATCAATATTGGCTCATTAACTGTAACAAATGTATTGTACTAATTGTCAGGACCCTGAGCCCAAGCTAAGCCATCATTTCCCCTGTGACCCGCACGTATACATCCAGATGGTCTGAAGCAATCGAAGATCCACAAAAGAAGTGAAAATAGTCAGTTCCTGCCTTAACTGATGACATTCCACCATTGTGATTTGTTCCTGCTCCACCCTAATTGATCAATTGACTTTGTGACAATACCCCCTCCCCGCCCTTGCAATAAGGCACTTTGTGATATTCCCCCCGTCCTTGTGAATGTACTTTGTACGATACACCCTCTCCACCCTTGAGAAGGTACTTTGTAATATTCTCCCCACTCTTGAGAATGTACTCTGCAAGATCCACCCCCTGCCCACAAAAAATTGGTCCTAACTCCACCGCCTATCCCAAACCTATAAGAACTAACAATAATTCCACCACTCTTTGCTGACTCCTTTTTCGGACTCAGCCCGCCTGCACCCAGGTGATTAAAAAGCTTTATTGTGGCCAGGCACGGTGGCTCACGCCTGTAATCCTAGCACTTTGGGAGGCTAAGGCGGACAGATCACAAGGTCAGGAGATCGAGACCATCCTGGTTAACACGGTGAAACCCCGTCTCTACTAAAAATACAAAAAATTAGCCGGGCGTGATGGCAGGCGCCTGTAGTCCCAGGTACTCAGGAGGCTGAGGCAGGAGAATGGCGTGTACCTGGGAGGCGGAGCTTGCAGTGAGCCGAGACAGTGCCACTGCACTCCAGCCTGGGTGATAGAGCAAGACCCCGTCCCAAAAAAAAAAAAAAAAAAAGCTTTATTGCTCACACAAAGCCTGTTGATGGTCTCTTCACACGGACACATGTGACACTAATAATGTAAGCTGTTAATAATAGAGGAAACTAGGGATGGAGCATATGAGAAGTTTCTGTACTATCTTCTCAATGTTTCTGTAAAATTAAAACTGTTCTAAAAAATAAGGCTGGGCGTGGTGATTCATGCCTGCAATCCCAACACTTTGGGAGGCTGAGGCAGGAGGATCACTTGAGCCCAGGAGTTCAAGACAAGCCTGGGCAACAAGGTGAGATGCCTCACCTCTACAAAAAGTAAGAAAATTAGCCAGAAATGGTAGTGTGCGACTGTGGTCCCAGCTAATCGGGAGGTCCCAGCTGAGATGGGAGGATCACTTGGGTTCTGGAGGACGAGGCTGCAGTGAGCCATGACTGCACCACTGCACTCCAGCCTGGACGACAGAGCAACATCCTGTCTCAAAAAAATGAATTAATTTTAAAAATAAAAAATGAAGCCTATTTTAATAATCCATTTAGTCACTGTTTTAGACTAATTGGTGGGAAAGTATTATGAATTAGAAAGTCCAGATTACAGATTTAATCTCAATTTACCTTAGGTACATAGGTTATTTTAAAGAGATAACACAATCAAAAACAAATACTGATGTACAAAAAGCAAAGCACTTGGAAAGATGTACGCCAAAATAGCAACCAAGACCATCTATGGGCCTGAGATGGGTCTCACTTTCTCCTTTTGACTATTCTATGTAATCTGATTTTTAAAAAATATAATGTTATTTTTATAAGTAAAAATAAAAGTATTTTCATTTAAAAATGAGCTGGAAAGTGGTTTTACAAAAGGAACAAATGAATAGATATTGTAGTAAGGATCCATGGGAACTGACTTTGGCACAGATAAAAATAACCTGTTACAAGTCTTTGTTTTAAGCTTCTGCTGAGCTTAAGGGTTCCTGGAAATAGTTTTATTTTTAAATATTTGAAATAGTATTGTAATCTTGTTAATATATTTGTTGTGCTCAGCAGCCCCACTTTTTGGTAATGTGGCATGTGCTGCTCTTTCTGGCTGGAATGCTCTTCTTCTCTCTCATCTAATGAATACCTGCTCTTTCTTCAGATCTTAGCTCTGGTGTCAGCCACTTCTGCACGAAGGCCTTCCCTGACTTTCTTCACACAGCCAAATTTTTCTGACACATTCTTACCCCTTTACATAGAATTTATTACAGTTGCCATTGTTAATCTATTCTGTGACTGCCTGACTACTGCCTGACTCCCCATGAACTGTGAACCCCATGAGGGCAGGATTTTGTTCACCACTGTCTTCCAGGCTACTGCAGTGCCCAGTGCCTAGCAGGCCTTTAATACATATTAATGGGCTACTCTTGCAGCTTCTGCAGAGGTTCTCCGTACTTGTTTTATGATGAGCCCACATGTCACACCAAGATCCTGGGATGTATTTTAGTCAATTATATGTTCAAGATTTAGATCAGATTTTGTCCACTTCTTTAAAATAGTCATTCTTAGAATTCACATACTAAGATATAACAATTGTAAGAATAGGCTTGTAAAGACTAAAGTAACTGACCCCTAAGACTGGGATGAACACAAATAAAGGGCAGCCTGGCTGCCAATCTTAAGCCCTTCCCACGCCTTTGGCAAGTCTTGGAGCGAGTGGGATGTTCTAGTAGCATTCTGAAGGTGGAGCAATGAAAGAGGGAGGCTCAGCCCCCTCCAAAGTATAGCCATACACTCCTCACTCAATCTGTCCCACTCCAACCTGCCAACAACCCTTCTGGGTTCAAGCAATTCCTGTGCCTCAACGTCTCAAGTAGCTGGGATTACAGGCATGTGTCAACATGCCCAGCCAATTTTTGCATTTTCTGTAGAGACAACGTTTTGCCCTGTTGGCCAGGCTGGTCTCAAACTCCTGACCTCAAGTGATCCGCCTGCCTTGACCTCCCAAAGTGCTGGGATTACAGGTGTGAGCCACCGCCCTCGGCCTCTTTTTAAGGCTTCTAATAAAAGTCCTCACTTAACAGCAACCCAGTTTGAGTAGCGAAGGCCTACTGATACTCTTCTCTGTAAAGGAACCCTTTTCAGGGCTGGCTTTTGCTGGCAGCTGCTTCTGTAAGCCATGGCCTAAGTCAGGAAGCTGCCTGAGCCCAGGGTATGCGTAAGGTAGGGCAGCCACCTGGGAGCAATGTGAGCAGCTGGCCCAACAGGAAAGGCATAATCACTTGGTATAACAACCTGGTCAATAGCAGTGAGCAAACATTTTTAGCTGGGAGACTTACCCAAACTTTGTCTCCTGAACTCTTTTTCTGACGGCCAAGGAGATGTATAAAACCAACCCAATCAAAATAAATCCACAAAAGCAGCCAAAGATGATGAGCACAGGATCTGCGTTGCCAGGTGCTGGAGTTGAAGAGGGGGCATGATCTACCCAACCTGGTAAAATACCAATAGACCAATCACGGGTTTGAAATATATGAGAAACATTGACTTGTAACAGGGAAGAACAAATAGTCAAAGCTTTCAGAACTCAGTTAAATCTTTTGTAATCCACAAATACAGGCAGGCCTCACTTTGTGTAAGCTGACACCATGCAAAGAGATCTTAATAACTGATGGGAAACTAGCTTGATTTACTCATTCCACAACAGACATATAGATCAAAATGTCACGTTGTACTCCAGAGGTATATATAATTTTTCAATTGTTAATTAAAAATAGTAACTTAAAAATCAATGAGAAAACTCACGTCAGTTATACATGTACAAGAAAATTTTAAAAATTACAACTAATATTTACTTGCACTGTAGTTTAAAAATGTGAGAAACATGAAAAATTAAAGTGTCATTTCTTTGTAAAAAACGATCGAGAGTAGGTTGAATAGTTTGCCTTCTAGTCATGTAACTTATGATACAGAGAAAACATAGTTTCTGTGTTTTGGAGAACTGTCACATTCCTAAGTTTGGATCTGCGGCTAATACTTCATCTTTTATTCTTTCAAGGTTGTAAAATATCTCTCAGTATTCCTTCAATGTTGTTTTTTGACGGTGTCGCTTTCTCTGGGACATTTTCAACATTTTTGTCACAACCTCTTCATGTATGTGCATAAGTTCACCTTCACTAAGGACCGCTGGTTCACATCCAACGTTTATCAGCGGGGGCAGTAACAACTTTCCATAGTCTTACATTCAATTCAAATTTTACGTTGAACACTATCACTCTGCATTTCTTTGCTGTGCTTTTTACCTTGGTTTACCAACTCCCTCTTTCAATTACCCATTTTTGTAAAATGGCATGTGGGTTTGTCCCTGGGAGACAAGGAGGCAACACCGCCACATGTCTCCCCTAGGTGGGCACAAAAAGAATGACAAAGGCGCAGTGACCAATCACAACAGACTTTGAAAGAAATGATGCCATTGGTCCTGAGAGTGATGTGCATCTGTTATTTGTACAGTGATTGGTGGCCTGAAGAGCCAGCCGCCCGAGTTTATGCTTTCTGCCATTATAGTTAATATAGAATGGTGACTAAAATTTGAACTGTATTGTTGGGGCATGGCTGTTTTTTAACTGTGGTAATTGAAATTTGTGCATACTGGAGCCAGGCAAGGTAAGGAATGCCTGCATAGCCAACATGGCTTCACCATGTTGGCCAGGTTGGTCTGGGACTCCTGACCTCAAGGGATCCGCCCGCCGCAGCCTCCCAAAGTGCTGGGATTATAGGCATGAGCCACCGCGCCCAGCCTAAACTCCAATTTTTTAAAGCTGTCCCTTTAGAATCAGAATTTCATTGTCTTTGTTCTTGTTTTGTTTTGTTTTGTTTCGTTTTGGAGATGGGGTCTCACTCTGTCACCCAGGCAGAAATACAATGGCGTGATCTTGGCTCACTGCAACCTCCACCTGCCGGGCTCAAGCAATCCTCCCAAGTAGGTGGGACCACAGGCGCATGCCACCACACCCTGCTAATTTTTGTTGTTGTTGTTGTTGTTTTTGATAGAGATGGGGTCTCACCATGTTGGCTAGGCTGGTCTTGAACTCCTGAGTTCAAGTGATCTGCCTGCCTTGGCCTCCCAAAGTGTTGGAATTACAGGCGTGAGTCACCATGTCCAGGCAGAATCTCAGTGTCTTTGAATTTCTACCAGGTAGACACATCTTGCCTCCCCATCACCAGTTACTAGTGTTTCCCAGGAACTGTGCCTATGGGCTGCAGGAACGTAATATGGTTCCATTTCAGCACCAAAAGGGAGAGCAAGTTTGAGGGTCCCTGGTAACAGACAGGTGGGAACTCAGTCATCTGCTCACAAGTTCTGTCTGCTATTGGGTACAAAGGTCATTTTTGGCAAAAACTTAATGTATAAGCACACTGATCTAGATGCCTATGCATGGACTTTATGACAGTCATTTAACATTAAACAACCTAGGGAAGGTGAGAGTCAAACAAAGTGGCTCCATTGGGTTATGGAGTGAGCACAGCACTTGGTTCACTTGGGGTACCAGGGTGGCACCGCGCCAAAGGACATTCCAGCAACATGCAAAAGCCAACACGCATGGCTGGGCATTTGGCTCAGTGGGCCCAGGACAGTCTGAGGATGGCTTCCATAGGAAATATTTCATATTCTGTGCAGACAAAGCACAAGGCATGTTACCCAAGGCTTGAATGGGTAAAAACATGGCAAAGCAGTACTGTTTGAAACACAGCAAAACAAGCACCAGCAAATAAATTGCCCCAATTATAGACAGCTAAGGATTAGCTGTATCGTTTATCTAAAATTCAGTCATGTACAGTATACATCATTGCAACTAAGTTCAATAAGTAAAGCCAAAGTTGGCATCTGAAAAGACTGATCTCCCAAGTAAGTTATTAGCATTAGTAGTAACTACAGGAGGGACCTATGGGTATCAGCAGTTCTATAAAGCATGTTATCATATCATATCTTTATCATTGGAAAAAGTATTTTTGATTCTTATTTTTCCTTTTTTTTTTTTTTTGAGACAGGGTCTCGCTCTTTTACCTAGCTAGAGTACAGTGGTGTGATCATAGCTCACTGAAACCTCTGCCTCCTGGGTTCAAGCAATCCTCCCATCTCAGCCTCCCAAGTAGCTGGGACAACAGGCACGATCCACCATGCCCAGCAAATTTTTAAAATACGTATTTTTTGTAGAGACAGGGTCTCACTATGCTGTCCATTGCCCAGGTTGGTCTCAAACTCCTCCTGCTTTTGACTCCTGAAGTGTTGAGATAAGCCCAGCCTTATTTTTCATTCTTTAATCAGCCATCCATCCCCCAGGTTACTTTCTGGCAATCTGTGTACTGCCTGGACCATCACACCCTATCAGCCCTTACTGGGTATAGCTCTCACCGTGCGCAGGGATAAATACTTTCACGGGGTCACTGAAGGGCCCGACTCCCCCTTTTGTGACGGCTGCAATCCTCACTGTGCACGTAGCATTGTGGACTTGAACAGAGATCTGAGCTCGGCTGTTATTCTGGCCAACTTCCTCCAAGAGCTCTTTCTGGGGACAGAGAGGAAAAGAGAAAATGAAAACACTGACGGCCAGGCAAACTGCAGGCATGTCTATAGTTCCTTCTGAGGGAAGCCGTCCTGCCCACGTCTGGGGCCAGAAGCCACACTTTCACAGCGTTCCTTCCTCACTCAGGCCATGGCCAATGGAACCAAAAGGCGAGTAGGGACAGGATGCAACCTCAAGTTTTGGGGGGTGTTGGCAAGCTAGGGCTATGAGGGCATGGCACTTACAGTGGTCCTAAAGAAGCTTCTGGAAGAGACGGAGCATGTAGTAGATACACCCAGATGATAGACAAGACTGACTCCTTGAGCCCTCGATCCTCAGAACCATCCACAGCACAATACACCAGTCACACTGTCCCTTGACACTGTCCCGCCCTTGAACCAGCATGAGTGGCCTCCTGTTCTTTGAAATTATAAGAATTTTGACTAAAATCTACCTGGAAGAGGGCACTGACACTTTTTTTTTCTTTCAGTGTGACAAATGTACAACTTGCTCAATTTTCAAAACTCTGGTTTTACTTTTATTTGTATGTTATTTAAAAGTCAATGTCATTCAAACAAAGGGAAAAAAATAACCAGAACTAAGGGTTTATATGACACCTTTCTCCCCTTTTCCAAACCTCTATAATCATAATGTTCTCTGGTGTAGGAAACTAATTTTGCATTTGGGCTGGCTTTTCAAATGGAAATTGTAGGGGTTGTGAAAGCTGAAACGAAGTTCTAGGAACATGTCTTTATCTCTGAATTTTGGAAATTTGATTTCAGAGACAGAAAGAAGTCTCAGGTCATGTAGGTGACAGATGTCACAGGTCATCAATGAACAGCAAAGGCAGTTCTATTTGTAACTGTATTCCCTGGTCACTCACTCTCAAGCCAGTCATTTTGCTAGTGATGGTGAAGGATAGAACCATCTCAACTCTTAAGGAGAGAGCAGTCCATCATTCATGACCAAGGGGGCACCTGGGTTGGCCATCCAGAGACTGTTTCCAAATCTAAATAGGCAGTGGACATCAGGACCCAGAAATGTCCCCTGCAGAAAAAAAACAAGCTGTTTTTTCTGCTCGCGCACCACATTAGTCAACACAGAAGGCTTCTGTGACCTCTGGTCACCAAGGAGTGTATGAGAAGTTTTCCCTACAAACAACCAGTCAGTTCTACAGCAGACACCAGCTGGGCATTCTCCAACCCAGTTCAATTCTAGCGCTATCACCTGGAGATAGTGTCAGATCCCACAGGGTGAGGACTCAGCCCCCAAGAGCCCCCCCAATTTCAGATGCAAATCACAAGCCCCAGGTAGTTTGACCTGTACTTCTGACCAGCTGGCTATAAATCAGGGACTCCATGACCCCCTCCTTGAGTTTGTTTAATTTGCTAGAGTGGCTCACATAACTTAGGAAAAGACATTCACTGGTTTATTATTTTTTTCCTTTTTCTTTTTGAGATGGAGTCTCGCTCTGTCACCCAGGCTGGAGTGCAGTGGTGCTATCTCAGCTCACTGCAACCTCCACCTCCCGGGTTCAAGCGATTCTCCTGCCTCAGCCGCCCAAGTAACTGGGACTACAGGTGCCCGCCACCATGCCCGGCTAATTTTTGTATTTTTAGTAGAGATGGGGTTTCGCCACATTGGTCAGGCTGGTCTCAAACTCGTAACCTCAGGTGATCCACCTGCCTTGGCCTTCCAAAGTGCTGAGATTATAGGCGTGAGCCACTGCGCCCGGTCTCACTGTTAAGGGTTTAATGAGTTCCTTTATGTAAAACACATAGTACATGATCTGGCATGCTGCAAGTAATCAGTGGTGGCTACGATTATCCTTAGATCACGTTCAAGGTGGTGCTACAGTTGGGTCTTCTTTCCCTATAAATAAATACAAAACCTTACAGAATTGACTTTGTGGTATCTTTCAAGTCTTGGTGCATTAGAGAAAATCATCAAGGCTGTCTAGTTCCCCAAACCAAGAAGCTTATTTGACCCATTCATGGAGTTTACCTCCATGGTAGGTTTCTCCTCCAGGCAAAATGTACCCTATTTGATCAATCCCTGGGTTTCAGAAGTGGTTCAGATCCCTGGCTGGCCATGAGAACCTTGCCTATTCCTCATACTTTAAGATAACGCCAATTCAAATGCTCTGCTCTCCTTTGACAGTGAGAAAGAGGGAGAAAAGGAGAAAGGAAGAGGCGCTGGGCACATGCCAACATCCAGGCACACAGCTCAGCTCATTAGGGGAACTTGTTAGGAGGCCAAGGTCTTGGGCCAAGTACACTGCAGCTTCCCTGAGTCTTTAAAGAAGTTGGTTCTCCAGGAGGCAGATGTTGCAGTCAGCCGAGATTGTGCCACTGCACTCCAGCCTGAACGACAGAGTGAGACTCTGTCTCAAAAAAAAAAAAGTTGGTTCTACATATCATGCTGTCTCAAGGCTATAAGAATCTCTGCTATGAGATTCCTTCTAAGTCTATACCCTTTGAAAACGAAGAGTAAACTAGCATTCGAGCAATAAACCCAATGAGCTCCATAAAAACCACACGTATAAAAATGTGTCTCTGCCTAACGTTTAGGCGATTCTGGGTCAAAGTTAAACAGATTTATTTTCTGTTGAACTTCAAAGAGCCTTGAACTTGCCAGTATACATGTTGGGCCTTCAAGGTGGTATAATATGCAATATTTTATAACTCTATTTGCTCACTGAACTCTTTTTTCACGGAAGATCCACAGACACTTTATGGGAATGAGGGAGGGGTGGGAAATACCAGTCCAACTTAATAAAAGACTGTCCCATTCACAGAGAGAAATTCTCCAGCTGGTTTAGATGGTGTAGCTGGGCCCACAGATCAAATCCATAGTGCCATAAGTGCCTACAAAGCAAGGTCAAGGCCCTGTGTTCAGACAGTACAAAGACGAGCAAGACCTGCCTCCAACTTCAAAGAGAACACATTGCATTTGCTCCTTGTCTTTGGATTTTAAGCTCTGATTTGGAAGGCAAGTAATCACAAGAAAAACAGAACAATAAAAGTAGGTATCATCATTGAGATATAATAAATATCCATACAGTAAAGATCAAAGGATTCTTAGTCTGAAAGTGACATGACCATTGTGGGAACGAAAGCTACAGACCTGTCTGCAGTGTAACTGCAACAAGCCAAGCAAAAATGACTGCCAAGAAAGTTCTGAAATTGCATGCACACGAAGAACCCCACCCTTAATTACAGTTATAAGTGAGAAATATCTTTAAAAAGTATCCAACTGCTCTGTCCTGCATAAGGAAGTAGCTTTAGTGTCAGTGATCTAAAAATGAAAATCAAAGGATAATTTTGAGACAAGGTTTTGTCTAAGCTTTGCCCTTCTGAGATGAAGGAAATTCAAGGAAATCAAAGTGACAGATGCCAAGATCATCTCAAACTTCCCTTTGGGTGTGGATTTCAGGGCATTCCCAGGGTCCGCCTTTCTTCTCTGTTCTTATTTGCCCCCAGTTTTGGATCATAAGCTTGACACTTGGCTGCATCAGAGAATGTTTTCCAAAGTCAAGTGAGCCACTGGGTCTTTGTTGTCACAAGACTGTCATGATGCATAAAGTATAGTGCAAAGCCCAACAAATGATCTCACTGGCATGATCTGGCATCCCCAAGGAGGTAAGTGACTGGAAAGGTCACGGCCCTAACTGTGGCAGTTCTGTTCTCCCCGCAGAGGGGACCGTTCTGAACAAAGGGCAATGAGAACGCACAGCCTAGCTGAGTGCTAATGGCATTTAGTGCACAAGGCTCTCCAGCCACAGTCATTCATAAGGTTTTCATCATTGCTGCCCTTCAGAACGCCTCAGCTCAAGAGCCCCCTTCAGAAAAGTAGCTTTCGCCCATGCCAGAAGTAGAAGGAGAAAGGATGACCTGCAGCTCTTTAAACAAACTGGCTTGTTTTAGACAGCCTAAGTGTCTGCTGGTAATCACGATTTTCTGCCAAATAGAGAAAGATAAAATTCCTGCTGAACCTTTATGTTTAGTACAGCTCTACCAAGCATTCAGCATTGTGAACAAAAGCCTTTCTCTCAAAGAGGCATTTGATTCCTGCAACTCAGCCAATGGAGAAATGCAGTTAATCCGGAGGCACCTCGCACAAATGCCTTGGGACAAAAGACGCAAGGAAAGGCTGCTTCTCTCGCAGCTGTGACTTTTAAGCGGGATTGCTATTTAAAATTAATTAATACCATGATCATTTACTATGAGGCAGAACAACATGGACTTCTAAGCCTTCTTTTTCTCTACTTCCATCACCTATTGCGTCCAACAGTCTGCTTCCTGATAGGTAAACTGAGGCAGGGAACTCAAAATAAATTTTAAGTGTCCTTTCAGAAAATGGCAGTTTTGATAAATGCTGGATGATATGTGGCTAAAAATGATTAAAACAAAGCTTGGGCATCAGTGGTGGGTGCATCCGCTCACCCACTCACCCTGTTCATCTCTATATGGAGCATCTGTATGTGATGCTCCATATAGATGCCATTAAGAAGCTAAAATTTGGATCTATGATATGGTTTGGCTGTGTCCCCACCCAAACCTCATTTTGACTTTTAGTGCCATAATCCCCACATGTCATGGGAGGGTCCCGGTGGGAGGTAATTGAGTCATGGGGGCAGGGTTTTCCTGTGCTGTTCTCTTGATAGTGAATGTCTCGTGAGATCCTGTGGTTTTATAAAGGGGAGTTCCCCTGCACACGCTCTCTTGCCTGCCACCATGTAAGAAGTGCCTTTGCTCCTTCTCTGCCTCCTGCCATGATTGTGAGGATTCCCCAGCCATGTGGAACTGTGAGTCCATTAAACTTATTTTTCTTTAGAATTACCTAGTCTCAGGTATGTCTTCTTTATTAGCAGTGTGAGAACAGACTAATACAATTTGTTACCAGGGTTAGATTGATCAGGAATACGGCAACACAGAAGAAGCATGCTTTCCATGATCACAGTAAAGAAGAGACAGACTTGATAATGAAACCAGTGCATCTGCCCTTCCATGGATGTTCTGTGTCACAAAAGGAGGCAGTATTACCCTACTCTCTTCCTTTCCCAGGTAGGAAGGGAACCTGTCTAGAAGCTGCCCACCTAACCACACCCAGGCATCATCACCCAGCTGCCTTTCCTGCTGCTGTATTGGGTCCAGTTCACATCATAGCAGTGGTCTTTAGACTTCATAGAAATCAAAATCAAATGTCCCTCTGGGTTTGACCGGAGTCATGCCTAACAAAGTCACTGGAAGGGCACTGGCTGGTACGTAGGGAGGGAGCCACTATTTCACAGGTAGATTCCCTTTGCCTTTTGTTTGCCACTGTGAAATGAAACCAGTGCTTATACTAGAGAGTCTTCACTGAACTTGCCAGCTTTAACAAAAATCTAAAGGATCTTGCCAGCTTTAGATTGATTATAAGGCAGGAATTACCTGACATATTGATGCTCCCCCACCATACCCCTACCCAGTTCCAAGCACACACAAGGTTACTCATATCAGCAAACTCAATGTAATTATCCATAAAAGAAGAATCATCTAGGTCATCATCATGATCTGTAAGTCTCAAGTTGTGCTCCTGAGTTCATGCTTATCATTGGCTCCCTTGCTATCAACCAATTTCTACCTGCCTTGGCCTCACTTTCAGGGCCCTGCATTTTAGGGTCAGAACTCCTCAATCCAGCTTCATCTCACACCTCGCTCTCACAAAAGGGTTATGTTCCAGACCTTCAAGTGAGTCAGAACTTACAGCTGCCATATTGTCCCTTCTCTCATGTTATCTTTTCCCATCTGAGACTCCTCAAACTTCATCTGCCAAGATTACTCTAAGCTGTGATGGTTAATATTATGTGTCAACTTGACGGGGTGACAGAGGTGCCCAGCTATGTGGCTAAACATGATTTCTGGGTGTGTCTGTGAAGCTGTTTCCAGTGAGATTATTATTTGAAATGGGGGACTCACTAATACAGACTGCCCTCTTCAGTGTGGCTGGGCCTCATCCAATCCACTGAGGGCCTAGAAAGAACAAAAGGTAAAGAAAGGAGGAATTCTCCCCTTTTCTTCTGCCTGAATGCTTAAGCTGAGACATCAGTATTCTCCTATCCTTGGACTGAGATCTACACCACTGCCCCTGTTCTCAGGTCTTCAGACTCGGACTGAATTACACCACTGGCTCCCAGGTCTCTAGCTTCCAGACGGCAGATCGTGAGAAGTCTCAGTCTCCGTAACTGCATGAGTCAATTTCTCATCATAAATCTCCTTCTATACATACGTGTTCAATTAGTTGTTTCTTTAAAGAACTTTGACTGACACATAAGTCCAATTCAAGTACCACCTTTTCTGGGACAGGCAGTCTGCCACAGGCTCCAAGCATCTTTGTTCATCCTTGCTGAGCGTGACAAAGTGCAAGGCCTAACCATCCCCAGCCCTGAGCCATGCTGGGGCCGGTCACATGGGCAATGAAGTAGGTCAAGGTGGCCACAGCATGACGACTGTGCAACTGCACAGAGGATCAGCTTGTTTGCTGCTCACTACACAGGGTGCTGAGCCCTTGACCCTGGTACCCTCAGGTGCACAATCCACCAAGTGGATACATCACATTGCCCAATGGGACTTGGTGGAGCAGGGAACCTGTGCCATCTGGCTGACGCACCTGGTTGTGTGCTATGCCGTGTCAGACTGCATGTCCTGATCCAGTAAGTCTCATGTCTAATTTCGGCTTGTCTGCAGCTGTGCCAGGCTGGCCAGTGAGCTTGCTTAGTCCCTTCCTTTGGTGTCCGCTTACCTCCTGTCATTCTCTATGAGGATGAGGTTATTCCCGGATCATCTCCTTTTGCAAAGTCCCATGAAATTTCCAAAAGACCATGAATTGCTGGACTGCTAAGCCCTGTAGCTCCCTGACCTAATGCTACAATTTGGGTAGTCCACCTTGTCTTCCTATAAGAGCCTAAATTCCATGAGGGCAAAAGTCAGGTGATAACAGAGGATGAAATCTATATCTATCTCATGAATAAGTGAATGAATGAATGAGTGAGGAAAGTTCCAAAAGACTCCTTAGAATTTTGTAACTGTTCAGTCACCTCTAACATTTACTATATTCTGTTCCCCATTTACTATATTCTGCCTTGCCTAACTCAATCACACCAGGTCTTTTCAAAACCAAATGAAAGCTTCTAAAACTGAAGTAAACCAGCAAGTTGAAAGGAGATGATCAATCGTGCTCTTCTAGGGTTTAGACTTACGGAAATCCCTGCACTCTGCCACACATGGGATATCCGGTAGCCCACCAGTTCTCCAGCCTGCCGCTTGGTCGGAGGCTTCATCCATCTGATGTCCACATTATCTCTAGATTCATTCAGAAACACAGTGACGTTTAAAGGTGCTACTGACGGGGCTGCAAAAGAAAAAGGAGAGAAGAATGAAGAACCACAAAGCACACACAGATGCATTCTCATCTGGGTTTTCAAGTGTTTGTTTTTCAAATGCTCTGTGAAAAGCACTCAAATGAGACCAAGACTTATAGCACATTTTCACCTTCTCAACTAAGATTTTCACTGAGAAATCAATGAGTTTTAAATCAGTGAGCCCTTTTAGGTTACTGAAGCCTAGAAATCCATTTCTTAAGTAGAAAATGTCAGCCAGAACAGAGCGAGACCCTCTCTACAAAACGAAACAAAAAACTAAAAAATTAGCTGACTGCTTGGTGCACATCTGTAGTCCCAGTCCCTCCAGAGATAGAGGCAGGAGGATTCCTTGAGCCCAGGAGGTTGAGGCTACAGTTAGACGGGATCATGCCACTGCACTTCAGTCTGGGCAGAAAAAGCAAGCAAGGAAGAAAAGAAGGAAAGAAAGAGAAAGAGAAAACAAGAGAAAGAGAAAGAAAATCAGAAAACGTTGGCCAGGTATGGTGGCTCATGCCTATAATCCCAGCACTTTGGGGGGCCAGAGGGAGAGGATTGCTTGAGGTCAGGAGTTTGAGACCAGCCTGGGCAACATTGCCACTAAAAATAAAAAAATTAGCTGGGTATGATGGCACAGGTCTGTAGTCCCAGCTACTTGGGAGGCTGAGGAAAGATCACTTGACCCTGGAAAGTCAAGGCTGCAGTGAGCTGTGATTGCACCAGTGCACTCTAGCCTGGGCGACAGGGCAAGACCCCATCTCAAAAGGAAAAAAAAAAAAAAAAGGAAATTTCATGAGCACCTAAAGTAAAACAGCAAAGAAGAGGAAGGCAGGGAAGGAAGGGTGGGTGGTGCTCTGGACTCCTGGGGAAGTGAAGCAGACACAACTTGAACAATGTTCTCCATGACAAACCTGTGGGGCAGAAGGTCAACACGGCCAGTTGGAGATCAGCTTGGTGGCATTTGAGATGCACAAGGTAGGAAACACTGCTGAGCTCAGAATGCAGCCACCATTTTAAAGTCCAGAGGCAAGTTATTGACGATCTGAACAGAGCTAATCTGTCAACATATTTAAAAAGTGCGTGCGTGTGTGTGTGTGTGTGTGAGTGTGCACATGAGTGTACGTGTATAAAATAATTTGGGAAACAAGATCATGACTACAGTCTTTTTTGGGAGAGAAGAACTTAACTATATCTATTAAAATTGAAAATAATATGCTCTCTGACCAAATATTTTACCATTTCTAGGAATTTAATCTATAGGTGATATTATATTTATTGCAGCATAATAATGACAAATAGAAATAAATCCAATGCTCGGTCAATAATTACGATATAACCTGGGAGGCGGAGGTTGCAGTGAGCCGAGATCATGCCACTGCACTCCAGTCTGGGCAACAGAGTGAGACTCTGTCTCAAGTAACAATAATAATAATAATATAAATTTTGATACATTTTCCAATGGAATACTTAATTACCTGGCCACTGGAAAGAATTAGGTATATCACATGTATTGATATGAAAAAAAAATCCAATGGGGGAAAAATCAGATTGTGAAAAGTATATAGATCCATTTTAGAAATTAAAAAAAATAAATCTTCTATATCTAGAAAGAATAATAACAATTGGAATAATATACACCAAACTGTTGCATGTAGTTGAATGAGGGGAGGTTAAATTATATATTTCAGATATGTGTGAAAGGATACTATAACCCTCTTTTTCTCTGCTGATTCCAGAAACAGTAATCATGAAGTTAAAATGAATTTCAGCTTAGAAAATGCCACACAACTGAAGCTGCCTATGAAATCAGTCACACACTTTCAAACCTGTTGTAGAATTTGTGGATAAATATGGCCAACACAACACGTCTGTATGTCTGCCTCCTCCCAAAACCCCTCTATGACGGCAATAAAGAATTTGAAAAGATATAAACTCACAAGGCAAAGAGGAGTCAACAGTAGAAGAGAGATTTCAACACATATTTGAAAGCTGAAAAAGAGATGAAGAAGGTATCATTAACTCAGCAAGCCAATGTTCCCCCAAAGAACCACAGAGCAGCTCAGAAACTGTGGGCCCAGGTAGTAAAACAGGGACTAAAACTGGGAAGAGTGATTGGAAGTCTGATTAAGAAATAGTTGCTTCCCAAAGTCCGTCTTCTCCATGCCTACACACCTGGCAAGTATGCCCTCAAATAGCCATAGGACACAGGGTGATTTCTTCTCTGAAGCAGAAAGCCACTAAACTTAGAGCACCTGTAGAATGGAGGCATGAAAAGGAGCCAGGCTGAAACCTGGGAAAATAAGTGAAAGTTTACACATTAAATGGCAAGGTCTCTACTTTCCCTTCCTCCCCCACCTGGCTACTAGAATATCAGCAGCCACGTTTAATTCCTGGGGCAGGAGACTTCTTTTCTAGAGGAAGTCAGCGGCTACAGAGGAAAGAAACCAATTTTGACACTTGGGAGTATCTGAATCAAAACACTTAAGGCATCTGATAGTGAAGCCTACAAGCTCTGCCCAAGTTCCAGTCAAATCAAGGACTCTTCACCCTTCCATAGGAACAGACAGCAGAAATTAGCAGAGGTCTGGGGAAGCCCCCCGACTGAATGTCAGGGACCAAAAAAACCACACAGAACAGAGGGCTTAGAGGAGACAAAGCCGGTGTAGGGAACTAGAGAAAACTAAACACAAACAAACAAAAAAGAACTGAGATATCCAGAAAAGGCTGTCATGATTGAGAACCAGAAAACAATTTTCAATGAAAAAAACTTGAAATTAGCAACATGATAAGTAAAATAAAATATTTAACAGAAGAATTGGAAGACAAATCAAGTACCTCTCCAAGAAGGTAGAATAAAAGGGCAAAGAAAATAGGCCAATTTGAAAAAAGAAAATTGAGGAAGCAATCAAAGAGGTCTAATGAACAATTGTCTAACACAATTTCTGGAAAAAACAGATATTGGAACATTTCCAAAGGAAAAACAAAAGTTTAAGGACCAAAGGACTTTCCAGATTTCCAGATTAAAGGGGCCACTGAATGCCCTTGATAATGACCAAAACAAATTGCACATCACAGTTTATCACAGAACCAGGATTAAAAAGATATTTTAAAAACTAAAACTGAAAAACAGTTCACATAGAAAACTTAAGTATCAGAATTTTCCACAGCCACCCATGAAGCTAAACAATGATACGAAAACACCTTTAAACTTCTGAGGGAAAATAATTTCCACCTAAAATTCTATATTTGGAAAAATTACTAAGCCAGTATTACATAAGGACATGCAAGTTCCCACAATCTTTACTTTTTACGTATATATTCTGTGGAAGCTACTTGAGAATGGGCTCCATGAAAACGAGGGCATAAACTAAGAAAGGCAAATACCCAGGAGAAGGCACCAGAATCCTGAGGATGCCTCTAAAGGAAAACAGAAAAAGAACCACATGAAACAATTAAAGGTAATGGTATCCAGGCCTCGCACAGGGCAAGGGAATAGTGCCTGTTCCTATCAATCAGACTGAAAATCTAATGATTCAAGAAGCACTGAGTAGGGCACACAGAATGGTCTTGTGTCAGCAGTGGGTAATAACTGAGTAGGGCATACAGAATGGTCTTGTGTCAGCAGTGGGTAATAACTGAGTAGGGCACACAGAATGGTCTTGTGTCAGCAGTGGGTAATAACTGACCTGAGACTGAGCCCTGCTTGGGTTCTGCCTAATAAATCTTAAAAGCAAGACCCTACAGCATTAAACTGTTTCCCACTAGCTTAGCTGTGTCTCAAAACAAAGCTCACTACTTATAGAAATACAAGAATATCTAGCATCTAACATCGTAAAATTCTCAATGTCTGTAATCCAGTCAAAGATTATCAGGCATGCAACGAACCTGAAAAATACCACCTACAGTGGAAACATAAATGAATCAGTTGAAACCACCCACACATAACATACATGTTAGGACAGCAAACAAAGACATTGAAACAGTTATGAAAAGGCTGGGCACGGTGGCTCATGCCTATAATCCCCACATTTTGGGAGGCTGAGGTGGGAAGATCATTTGAGGTGAGGAGTTTGAGAGCAGCCTGGGCAAAATAGTGAGACCCTGTTTCTACAAGCAAACAAACAAAAAACACGCCAGGTATGGTGGCTCATGCCTGTAATCCCAGCACTTTGGGAGGCCAAGGCAGGCGGATCACCTGAGGTCAGGAGTTCAAGACCAGCCTGACTAACGTGGAGAAAACCCCATCTCTACTAAAAATACAAAATTAGCTGGGCGTGCTGGTGCATGCCTGTAATCCCAGCTACTCGGGAGGCTGAGGCATGAGAATTGCTTGAACCCGGGAGGCAGATGTTGCAATGAGCCGAGATTGCACCATTGCACTCCAGCCTGGGCAACAAGAGTGAAACTCCGTCTCAAAACAAACAAAGAAACAAACAACAACAACAACAACAAAAACAACAAAAAACAAAAAATACCCAAAACACACACACACACACACACACAAAAACAAAAACAAAAATTAGTTGGGTCTGGTGGCATGCACCTGTAGTACCAGCTACGCAGAAGGTGAAGGCGAAGGTGGGAGAATTGCTTAAGCCAGCAGTTCAAGACTGCAGTGAGCTGATTGGCACTGCACTCCAGCCTGTGTGACTGAATGAGACTCTGTCTCAAAAAAGGAAGATAAGAAAGAAAGAAAAAAGAAAAGAAAAGTAATTATAAGCGCATTCTGGATGGTCCAAAAGTTAGAGACGGAAACATGCAAAAAAGAGATAAAAATTACAGTGTATGAGATGAAGTATAAACTGGATAGGACTAATGGCAGATTAGATACTGCACCAAAAAAAAGATGAGTGAAATTGAAGATCTAGCAATAGAAACTAGCCAAAATAAAATTAGACAGAAAAGAAGGGGAAAGCAATAATAGATCATCAGTGAGTTATGGGACAACTTCAAATGATGTACTATATATGTAACTGTAGTCCTTACAAAAGAAGATAGGTGGAAACAGGAAAAAAATGTAAAGAAGTAATGGCCAAACTTTTTCCAAATTTGATGTAAACAACAAATACAGAGACCCTAGAAGTTCAATGAACTCTAAACACAAGGAATATAAATAAAATTACACCAAAGTATGTCACAATTAAATTGCTCAAAATCAGTGATGAGGGTGAAAATAGGGACAAAAGACACATTACATACAGAGGAACAAAGTTAGGATGACCACAGATTTCTTGTGGGGAAACAATGCAAGCAAGAAGATAGTGGAGCAACTTCTTTTAATGTACTGAAAGTAAAAAACAAAAACAAAAACAAAAACAAAAAAACTAAAACTGTGAACCTACAGTTCTATACCTCATAAAAATACTTTTCAAAAATGAAGGCTAAAAATAAGAACACTTCAAAGGTAAAATAAATATTTTTCCCCAGACTACAGGAGCTGAATACCACACCAGCAGATACACACTACAAGAAATGATTTTTAAAAAAGTTCTTCAGGAAGAAGGAGAATGATGCCAGATAAAATATAAAGACCAAAAAAGGAAGACCACTAGAAATGGTAACTATAGGCATAAACATGTGTTTTTCCTGGTTATGTAAATCTCTCTGTAAAAGATTATTGACTGAACAAAAATAACAACAGTGTAGCAATGGTTTTTAAGACACATTAAAGCAAACTCTTTGACTACAGCCAAAAACATCTGAAGGAGAAAATGGAATATATGTGAAGTGGTATAAATCACTTGAAGGTACACTGTGATAAGTTAAACATGTATACTGTGAATCCTAAAGCAACTATTAAAAGAACAGAAAAAGAGCTATGGCTAATAAGCCAAACAAAGAATAAAAAAAAGAATCATAAAAATATTAGTATTAAAAATATAAAAATATTTTTAAATGAAGAAAAAGAAGAAAAGGAGAACAAATTACAGATAGAACAAATAGAAAATATGATGCAATTAAACCTATCCATTTGAATGATTCCATTACATTTTAATGGACTTGTGGGTTATTTTATACGTATATATGTGTGTATATGTACACATATATCACCTACACACACACACACACACACACACACACACACACACACAGGTTTTTGTCATGGTCTCTGGCTTACAACTCCCATAGCCCTGGTTACAATCTTTTGCTGTGATGTTGGGTGCTTTACGCCTCAGGGGCAGGCCTCAGGAAACAATCTCTCTGAGTTCTTCCTGCCCTCCTTTCACGTGCCTCGATGCAGGACTGTAATCCTCCCCATCTTTCTGACTGTGGGTCACAAGACCCTTATTACCAAGGGGGTCCTGACCCATAACCTGGAGGAAGGAATGCTGACATCATGAAACTTCCACCAAAAAAGCAAGACAACAGGGTTCAGAGAGCTTCCAGATAACTGAACATGTGGAGGTTCCTGGAGGGTGGTGCGCCCAGGGAGGACATGGAAGCTCCACGCCCTTTCCCTCTATACCTCATCCTCCACATCTCTTCATTCGTATCCTTTGTGATATCCTTTATGATAAACTGGTAAATGTAAGTACTTCCCTGAGGTCTGTGAACCGTTCCAGCAAATTAATGGGACACACAGCTGAGGTCATGGGAAACACTTGGTCAGTCAGAAGTTTCAGAGGTCAAGATTTGTGATTGGCATCTAAAGGCTGGGGTCGGGGACGGGAGGGAGGGGAGGCCTGGGGATCGAGCCCTCAACCTGTGGGATCTGAAGCTATCTCCATGTAGTGTCAGGCTGGAACTGGAGGACACTCAGCTGGTCTCCGCTGCAGAGCTGACTGCTTGCTGGTGGAGAGAAATCCTCACATATGTTGGGGTCACCGAAGGCTTCTATATTGACTATTGTGTTGGTAACATGTATTGATTGTTGTGTTGTGAGAGAGCATGTTTTAAAGTGTGCTGCTATTATCTTCTTCTATGTACAAGAAAAGATTACCTATACATAACACGGCTAAGTGTTGTCACTAAATGCTTTTAAAGTATGGAGGAAATATCTTTGCCATTTTCATCAGTCTCCTCAATAATTTTCTCCTGCAGAGACAAAGTCCAAACAAAGCAAAGTTTCAACTCTCAGTTAGGGCACTGGGAAGGGTTTGTTGAATCACATGCCATTGGGGGCATTATACATTCTGAACCCCAGCAATTACCTCCTTCAGTCGTGCTGGCTAGAATCCAAGGGCTCACTGCCGACCAGCCTATTTCATTCATGCAGGAAACGCCAATGCTGTAATTAGCCAGGGCTTGCAGCTGCTTGATTTGATACATATGTGGTGAGGCAGAGGTGTTAAAAATCATGACTGAGCCATTACTCAGTGGATCAACTTCCTTGACCTAAACGAAGAGTAAACACGAGGACCGGGCGTTAGTAAGGAGGTGGGAATGTCAGGCACGGGGCATGCGTGTATTTGGTGCACGTGGCCCTTCCTCTATGCTGAGGGGAAGGACCTGCTTCCTTTCTGGGCACACACACATTTTCCCGCCAGCATCACTGTGTGTTACTCATGCCACTCGGACAATAACTGAACACCTGAGGAAAACACCTAAAATAACAATAAACAGTTCTCACTGTGGCAGGTACTGGAGCAAATAATTATGATGATTAGAATTCATATTATACTATAAAATAAAACCTCTCCTCTCTTAGAACTTCTTCGATTCTTGACTTCTTTCAGCTGCTTCACGGAATATGCAACAGAGATAACAGATATAATATGTGCTGACAAACCCTGAAATATTTAATATTTTGCCTTTTAAAGGAAATATTTCCCAAATTCTGCTTTTAGAGGATGGGTTTCTTTCTTTTTTTTTTTTTGAGATGGAACTTCGCTCTCATTGCCCAGGCTGGAGTGCAGTGACTGATGTCAGCTCACTGCAACCTCCGCCTCCTGGACTCAAGCATTCAGGATTCAAGCACTCAAGATTCCTGCCTCAGCCTCCTGAGTAGCTGGAATTACAGGAGTGTGCCACCAGGCGCAGCTAATTTTGTATTTTTAGTAGAGATAGGGTTTCACCATGTTGGCCAGGCTGGTCTTGAACTGCTGACCTCAGGTGATCCGCCCGCCTTTGGCCTTCCAAAGTGCTGGGATTACAGTCGTGAGCCACCACGCCCAGTGTTTCTTAATCTTTCTTTTTATTATGTAACCTGAGGAACGCTGCTCTTGCCTTGAGGCTAACTTTTTTATTTTATTTTATTGTTATTATTATTACTTTTCTTGAGATGGAGTCTCAATCTGTTGCCCAGGCTGGAGTGCAATGGTGCGATCTCAGCTCACTGCAACCTCCGTCTCCCAGGTTCAAGTGATTCTCCCACCTCAGCCTCCAGAGTAGCTGGGATCACAGGTGCCTGCCACCATGCCTGGCTTTTTTTTTTTTTTTTTTAAAGTAGAGACAGGGTTTCACCATGTTGGTCAGGCTGGTTTTGAACTCCTGATTTAAGGGATCTGCCTGCCTTGGCCTCCCAAAGTGCTAGGATTACAGGCATGAGCCAATGCACCCATCCTGAGGCTAATTTTAGTGTGGCCTTTATTCTTAACCCCTTCGACCCCAACAGAAATTCAGTTCCAGAAGCACACACAGGAAATGTAGATTCTTGGCTTTTTTTTCTTTTTTTTGATGGGGAGATATAGGAAAGGGTCATTTGCCCCTCCTCCAGACAACTTTTCTCCAAATCGCCTTTAAATATACTGCCTATCTTTCCCTCCATAACTCCACCAGTCTCTCCACATCCCTCTCCAAATCTCTGTATGCATAGGAAAGAGAGGGCGATTCCCAGCACAAATCTAGTCCTGGGTGAAACTTCCATCTCTTTCCTTGCATACCTCCTGTCTGGGTATGGGGATAAGGGAGAGTATGGGATTTTGTTTTCCACTACATGCTTTTTCAAAATTTCTATAATATGTGGCACTTATAAAATCAGAACAGACAAAATGATATCGGGTAAAACAAGCAACTGAGAGCAATTTGGGAAAAATCCTCAGGCCACAAAATGTATTGCTGTTAATAACGGGCTTGCAGTTCTGGGCTGTGGATATACAGTACTATAATTTCAGGCTATGTGTGTTTGAATCTTAGGTCAATGAATAACATTCTGGAATTCCAAATCCCCTGGCGGATAGCAGGAGTATGGTGTAGGGGCTGAGTTTCTCCTCTGACTCAGACCCCGTGGGAGACAAGAAGGTATCATTTGACCTGAGGAGCCACCAGAGGAGAAACAAGAAGCCGGACGCTTGTCTTGGTGGTGGCTGTTGGCAGACATCACTTTTTGTTTGTTTCACTTTAGAGTGTGCTCCTACTTCCTGGTGACCAACCACCAAAGCGAAGGTGGAGGAAACCTTTGGCTCTCCTCCCCGCCCCACTTCCGGAGACACGTGGGGAGCATTTCCAGGCACAGGGACGCTCTCTGAGAGCACGTTCCTAGAGGAAAACAGGGTTTCTATAATAGCCCTTCTCAGTCAGTGGGTCCTCAGGGAAAAGAGCGCATGAAGTGGCAAGAAGTACGTGGGAGAGCTCAAAATAGAAATGGAGTGTGTGGCCCAAAAATGGGTGAAGAAAAGAGCTAAGATCAGGACCAAAGGAAGTGAGAGGGTGTGTCCTGCTAGCGCATGGATCTGAATCTCATCCAAAACATTCATTTGGTCCCGAGTCAGAGTTTAAAATTATAATGTTACAAAGCCATACTTGGTCCCTTCAAAAAATGGGAATACACTGTTAATGACAGAATAGAAAAGATAACTTTTAGAGCTTGTGCCGATTAACCCCAGTAGGACTGCCAGAGAATATAAAGGACACCTCGTTAAACTTGAATTTCAAAGAAACAACAAGTAACTGTTCAGTATAGGTAGGTATGTCACGAGATTATTCGTGTAGTTTAACTGGGTGTTCCATATTCTTATTTGCCAAATTTGGAAAGCCTACCAGAGATGGAAAAGAGAAAGGATGAACGGAGGCTCAGCTAGCCAAGGGGGACAAGAACAGAATCACCATATCCAGCATCACAGAATCCAAGATGGGCAAGAAAGGACTGGAATTTGGCCGTCTCAGGATGCTTTTCCATCTGTACCAGGAACACCCAAAACCATGGCAGAGAGAGAGCAGGTAAAGCTTGTGTGTGATCATCTTCCATCAGCAGGGGTGACCTGGTGTTTTCAGACTTTTCAACCATCCTGCCCACCTCACGTCACCCTGAGACCTGCTGTCTCAAGGTGGGGTGGTACTCTTCCTGAGACTCTCCCTGAAGCTCACCATCCTCATGTTTCATGTCCTCTCAGGCTCTTCAAACAACACAGCGCTTTGGCAACAGTTTTAAAAAGGGCTGGCCCATGCTTCAGTTATGTCCCTGTTATATAAATGTCTACCTCAGCCTGGCCAACATGATGAAACTACATCTCCACTAAAAGCACAAAGTTAGCCGGGCGTGGTGGCAGGTGCCTGTAGTCCCAGCTACTCAGGAGGCTGAAGCAGGAGAATTGCTTGAACCCGGGAGGCGGAGGTGGCAGTGAGTCGAGATCGCGCCATTGCACTCCAGCCTGGGCAACAAGAGCAAAACTCTGTCTCAAACAAACAAACAAACAAATAAATAAATAAATGTCTACCTCTAGGGAAAGAGGCCTGGATATTTCTAAAAACAGAGCCCCAAAATAACATGAAGCAAAAACTGATAGAATGGAAGGGAGAAATAGACAATTCAAAATAAGAGTTGAGATCTCAATTCCCCGCTTTCAATAACAGATGGAACCATGAGACAGAGTATCAGCAAGGCAATAGAAGACCGAAGACTCTAAACCAACGAGACCTGAACAACATGCACAAAACACTTCCTCCAACAACAGCCGAATGTACATTCTTCTCAGGCGCACACAAAACTTTCTCCAGGATAGAACTTAGGTCATAAAACAAGCCTTAAGAAATTTAAAAGGATCACAGTCATATGAAGTATATTCTGCAAACACAGTAGAATAACATTAGAAATCAGTAAGGGAAGAAAATTTGGGAAATTCATAATTAGGTGACAATTTAAATACACACTTCTAAATAATCAAGAGTACAAAAAAAATTCACAAGGAAAATGACAGAAAACTTGAAATTAACAACAACAACAGGCCGGGCGCGGTGGCTCAAGCCTGTAATCCCAGCACTTTGGGAGGCCGAGACGGGCGGATCACGTGGATCACGAGGTCACAAGACCAAGACCATCCTGGCTAACACGGTGAAACCCCGTCTCTACTAAAAAATACAAAAAACTAGCCGGGCGAGGTGGCGGGCGCCTGTAGTCCCAGCTACTCGGGAGGCTGAGGCAGGAGAATGGCGTGAACCCGGGAGGCGGAGCTTGCAGTGAGCTGAGATGCGGCCACTGCACTCCAGCCTGGGCGACAGAGTGAGACTCCGTCTCAAACAACAACAACAACAACAACAACAACAACAACAAAACCTTATGGGATGCAGCTAAAACAGTGCTTACAGGGAAATGTAGAATGTAAATGCCTATTTTTTTTAAATAAAAGAACACAATCAATAACCTAACCTCTACCTTACAAAACTAGAAAAAGAGCAAACTAACCCAAACAGAAAAAAAAAGAAACAAAAATTAATGCAGAAATGAATAAAATAGATAATAGAAAATAGAAAAAATTTACAAAATCAAAAGTTGGTTATTCAAAAAGATCAATAAACTTGACAAACTTTTAGCTGGACTGACTAAGAAAAATAAGAGCGAAAACAAATTACTAAAAGCTGGAGTGAAACAGGAGATCTTATTACTAACCTCAAAGAATAAAAAAGGTTATAACGGAATACTATGTACTATATTGCATACCAATAAATTAGATAACTAAGATGAAATGTTCAAATTCCTATAACATAGAAACTACCAAAGCTCACTCAAGAAGTAATAGAAAATCTGAATAGATGTATACCAAGTAAAAAGATTGAGCTAGTATTGAAAAAACTTTCCACAAAGAGAACAAATTTTATTAAATATTTAAAGAAGATTTAACATCAATCTTTCACAAACTCTTCCAAGAAAAGAAGGAGGAGGAGGAGGAGGAGGAAGGAGGAGGAGGGAGGAGGGGAAGTTGGGAGGAGGAGGGAGGAGGGGAAGTTGGGAGGAGGGGGAGGGGGAGGAGGGGAACGGGGAGGAGGACTTTCACACTTATTCTAGAAGGTCAATATTACACTGATGCCAAAACCAGAAAAAGCTACCACAAGAAAACTACAGACAAATTAGATACAGACACAATTAGACAGCGGTAATGGCTGCACAACTCTTGAATATACTAAACACCATTAAATTGTACATTTTAAATAATGGGTGAATATTATGGTATATAAAATATATCTCAGCTGGGCATGGTGGCTCACACCTGTAATCCCAGCACTTTGGGAGGCCGAGGCTGGTGGATCACTTGAGGTCAGGAGTTCAAGACCAGCCTGGTCAACATGGTGAAACCCCATCTCTACTAAATGTACAAAAATTAGGTGGGTGTGGTGGCACTGGCTGGTAGTCCCAGCTACTCGGGAGGGTGAGGCAGGAGAATTGCTTGAACCCAGGAGGCAGAGGTTGCAGTGAGCCGAGATTGTGCCACTGCACTCCAGCCTGGGCAACAGAGTGAGACTACGTCTCAAATTTTTTTTTAAAAAAGTAAACTGTATCTCAAAAAAAGGTGTTAAAAAAATCAATCACAAAAAAGGCCATTCCTGGTGAGGAACTGTAGATGCAATAAGAATTCCTAACACTTACCAGTGCTTGGGAGGCTTACAAAAAAAAAAAAAAACTGAGTAAGAATTAAGAAAGGCTGGAGGCAGTGGGTGAGGGTGGAGGCTATTTTAGGGATAATACAGGCTTTTCCTGTTCAGGGAAGGAACACCTGTTAGGTAAGAGTTGGAGGCTTTAAGAACAGAAATTAATTTGACTACCAAGTAAAAACATCTAGTTGTCAACACAAAATTCTTTGAGCTGAGTTGGCCTGTGTCAAGTTAACATATTTTTAACTAATGAGACCAGATATTTAGTAAACTAATTCCTGACCCTACTGTATGATTAAGTACCAGGCAGAATGCATTCATACTTCTAGTGGATAATTCCTGCATGTTCGGTAACCTGCTCCCAAATGCCATGTCTCTCCTGAGACGGAAGAGCTGATGGTTCTGAGCGCTGCTGTAGGCATTGGAGCTTCCCGGGCTTGAGTTCTGGTTCTGCCACTCACAGGCTGTGTGAGTACTCTGAGCCTGCAGTGCTGGTGTGTTTTAAGTAAGATAATGTTTGCAAAGCCCCTGGGCCATTGTGGTCCCTTAGTAAACCGTTGTGTTACTGCCACCATTCTCATTTTTATGAAGTGAACACTCAAGAGCAGAGCTTACATCATGGGCAAGGTATCATTTTAGGACAGGTAATGGCACTGTTTCATACCCATTCTAGGCAGCAGTGAAAAATGTCTGAAGACTCCACAAGGCCTGTAATGCCCAGGATCCCCAGGTGACACTGGCTAAGGTGCTACACTCAATAGCACAGACGATCTATCTTGTGCTGGCCCTTCTGTCCTTCATGGCCACCAGCCCGGGAGGAGCCACACTGGGGAGTGGCTGGCTTCCTCAACTCCTGGTCATAAGCATGTGTTTTGGGACCTTAAAAATGAACTTTCCCTGGTCTTGACTGGGCACGGTGGCCCATGTCTGTCTGTAATCCTAGCACTTTGGGAGGCCGAGGAGAGCGGATCACCTGAGGCTGGGAGTTCAAGACCAGCTTGACCAATATGATAAAACCCCATCTCTACTAAAAATACAAAATTATCCGGGCATGGTGGCGCATGTCTGTAATCTCAGCTACTCGGGAGGCTGAGGCAGGAGAATCACTTGAACCCAGTGGAGGTTGCGGTGAGCCAAGATCACGCCATTGTACTCCAGCCTGGGCAACAGGAACAAAACTTTTGTCTAAGAAAAAAAAAAAACAAAAGAAGAAGAAGGACTCTCCCTGGCCTCATGATGTTCTCCCTTGGAAACACATTTTGCTTCCGGTTGGGCCCTGAAACCTGCACAGGAAGGACACAGTGTCATGGGCAGAGCATGGACATGGAATGGTGCATGCATGCTGGACACTGAAGCAGGGAGGTCAGGGGACTCTGTACAGAGATGGAGAAATGCCCTCCGTGTCCATCCTTGGAAGGAAGAAAAATCCTTAGACCCACAGAGAGCGCCAAACAGCTACTTCTCCCTTCACCACGGAGCTTTACCTGAACGCTGCAATTCCTGAACGGGGAGTATCCATCAAAACCAGGGACCCAGGAGATCAGAATGCTGTGTGCAGTGCTGTTATGGATGCTGACTTCAGTTGGTGGGGAGGGAATTGCTGCATAAAACAAAACACACACACACAAACACAATTAAAGATAATGAGAGGCTACAGCTACCAAACAAATGCATTAATAAATGGAATTATGTTTTCAAGAGGAGCCTCCCTATGCCTGAGGATAATTGTACCAGCCTGCGGATAAGTCTTCCAGTGAAGGGCCAAAGAAGTGGAACGCAGACCCACTGATGAAATGAGGCGGCCTTTGAACTGGAAAAGATGTGGAATACTCATGTCCTTTACGGAGTACATGTTCATGGACCCTACTGTGTGTACCTGGCTGGGCACTAGTGCACTAAAGACAGACACAGTCATAGCTCTGCCCTCATGGAGCACACGGCCTGGTATAGGAGACCCACGTTAACCAAGAATAGGAGCGCCCTGTCACCAGAAGAGAAGGGTGCCAGAGGAGGGTGTGTGCATGCATAAGTGTGCATGCATATGTGTGCATGTGTATGTGTGCATGCGTATGTGTGCATGTGTATGTGTGCATGCGTATGTGTGCATGCGTATGTGTGCATGCGTATGTGTGCATGTATATGTGTGCATGTATATGTGTGCATGTGTATGTATGCATGCGTAGGGGGAGAAGCTTTCCAGGCTGAGAAAACACTAAGAGTCGGTTCAATCAAAAGAGCCGGCTGCATCTGCTGGGGGAGGGGAGGAGGTGCGTGTCTCGAAAGGGTGTGCTACACCCTTGGCTACAGGTGGGTAAAGGGTAGCTATTTCAATTAGAATCCAAGAAGGATCTCAAATTTGGGGAATCTTACTGTTTTGTGCTGAATTTAATTCATAATAATAATTACACTCGTAATTAAAAATGAAGGCTAACATTTCATGTGCTTACTATGTGCCAGACACTTTGAGGGCTTTCTTTTATCATTCCTAGAATCCTATTAGAGAGCTAGTCTTACAAGCCCCATTCACAGATAAGGAAACAGGATGAGAGAAGTTAAAAACTTGGCAAAGGTCACAGAGAGGTTGTAAGCCGTACAACGGGGACTTGAACTCTGGGCTGCCTGACCCTGGAGCTTGTGTCCCTCAACAGGACACTGGAGGCCTATTACCAAGGGCAGCAAGTAGACGGTGGGAACACCAGCAGGGACTGTAAGTCTGGTCTACCCCCTGACCTGCTGCATGGCCCCAGGCACAGCTACACGCCCTGTCTATAACTACACATGGTTCTCTCCTTTATAAATGGGGAGAGTAACAGCACCGCTGCATGGAGCTGTGGTGAGGAATAAATGCAGGGAGCTGTGGATGAGGCCCGAGGGGGGTGGTGTGGTGAGGATGAAGGTGATGATGGAATGAGCAGGAGAGAAGGAGGAAGGTGTGTTAAGACCATATCAAGCGTGCCCTGGGGGCCACATTTAGGAGTTTGGGTTTTGCTAGTAGACGCACAGCATTGGGAGTGGGGAAGAGTCAGGTTTGACTCACTTTCCTCTGCAGATTATTTGTGGAACTGCCCTAAAGCATCTGCCTTTCCAGACCAAAAGTTGACCACATATATCATAGTAATTATACATTAGAAGAAGAGAGTCTTGGTAGCTTTGATATAAATTTCACAATAAAAGAAAGCCAAAAACAGAAGTTTGAAGAATGATCTAATAGAACAAAATCTTAGCAGAGATTCTGAAGCATAAAATTGAAGAAGTGCTTTTCATTTCATATATGTTTAAATTTTAAGAAGTTTATACTTTATGAAAAAGTCTTTATAAACTCACACCCACTCATGAATTTTTGACATTCCCAACATGTCTTTTGGAAATCGTAATAATGGGAATTGTGATGAAGGAAGGAAGTTATACACTTCCTCCAGTAATAACTTTTAGTTTGGTTATTTTTTTATCCCAGTGAACTTTTAGGATATTCCCTTTCATAGCCTTTGTCCGGTTGATTTGCTGAAACTAAAATTAGCATCTTTTTTGAGCATAATTTCTTTTGTAATTTTGAATTCTCCTTCTGTATGTACCCAACCTTTAATTCATTATTAAACAAGTTCTGCTTTTTCCTTGCACTGCTTCCCTAAGGACAAGAGGAAAGGAACATGAGCCAAATAATTACGTCTCAATATTTAAACTAAGATCAAATAGTAAAACATAAAATTTGCTGGAATTTCTATGACACACTAAGGAGGATGATTTAATACGAGATAAAAAGGTAGTATCTACTTGTAGGTTTTTCTTTTCTTTCAAATTTCAAGTTTAATACCTTTGATCACACAGAAGGAGAATAAGGTAGATTGGACTGAAATGTCTCCACTAGCCTGGAGGCCTTCAAATGTATGCTTTTAATTCTATCGTCATAACTCACTGCCAAGCAAGCTCAGCCTAGTGAAATCCTAGCTCAGAGGAACCAAGAGGAAGACGGAGTTTAGGAGGAAGAGGGATAAGGAGCACTGGGCTCCAAAGAGTGATCTGCTCCCTGCTTTTCCTCTGTCTCCCTGAGTCATGTCAGGCCCTGCTGACCTGGGAAGGACAGGGTCCATTTCCTAGATCATGCCCCAAGCCAGCCCCATCCCCAGGCCTCTTCAAGGGCTCATGAGTAGTTCAGGGTGGAAGAGGGAAAAGTGAAAACAGGAACTAAGAAAGAGAAAACATTGTAGCTTATTTTCTTCTTGGAGTAAGCAGAGCTGAATGAGTGAATGTTTATCAAAGACCTATATGCCAGGCACTTCTGAGTAATTTTACTTGTATTCAATCAATAAGCCTCAACAACAGGTAGCTTCTGTAATTATCTCCACTTTTCAGAGGACAACACTGACACCAAAGAGAAGTCAGTTGTCCAAGGTCACAAAGAACATCAGTGAGAAAGCCAGGACCCACACCCAGGCAGCCGGCTGTAAGCTCATGCTGCGTCCTCACCAGCTCCCAGAACATGCATGGGGAACCTAGTCTTGCTGCTTACCTTTGATGTTGATCTGCACTCCCTTGGATACGGTCAGCCCTTTGTCATTGTGGGCCTCACAACTGAAGACCGCCATCTCCGTCAGGCCTGGAATGGAAGGAGACTCATGAGACCAGCAGCAGAGAAACAGGCTGCTGTTCACCACAATTCTATGGTTGTCTTTGCATTATGTTATTTCTTGGTTCGTGGCTTTTGGGCATTAGGGTAAAGTTAATTTAAAAGGTGTGCTAGCTACGGAGAAACAAACCTGAGATTAAACCCAAGGCACCAAGAGCAAGGCAGCCATGGGCCCAAAAGGCAGCTGCTTTCATTTATTCAGATCCTGAATAAATGAGACATTAGGTAATAAAACAGGATCATTTAGACTTTTACTGCAAATCACTGGATATTTAGGAAAATATTAAGGATATTAATATTAATATTAATGAAAGTGGGTTCTGAGGCTCACTTGATAGGATAGGCTGCCTATCCCCCCAGTACATACAGTGCCACTATGCTATGCATATTTCAGAATACCAGAAATAGCAAAATAAAAACCACAGCTTAAAAATCTCAGAAGATGTGTTGCAATGAATCATTTTTTAATAGTAAAAACTGGTCAATTCACAAGGATGTATTACATAAATGCAAGGCGTTATAACTAATCGAAGAGAAGACACTAGTGCTAAATGAAAAATTCTATCATTTCATAGGTTTGAAGACATCTTTTAAAAATTGATTTATTAATTTTAAATAGCAAGACAAGTTACCCAGATCTTGTTTTCTAATGCCATTCTCCAATAAATGGAACCAGGGCTCTTGGAGAAATGGCTGATTCTCAGATTGGGGCAGGAAATATATGAGTCTGGAGTAAAATGTAAAACAAACACAACACACAACACACACACACACACACACACACACACACACGGGGAGAGAGAGAGACAATGATGCAGCATGTCAAAGAGACACAGGAGCTAACTCAAAGAGTTCCCAATGGCCAAAGCTAGAACAATTTGAGCAAGAAAATAAAGTAGCTTTGGATTATAACCCAAAGAAGAAAAAAATATCCAGGAGTCCCTACTGATATCGGTAAATAATTAGATAAACTGGAGAGAGTAGACAAACCTTCTTGCAGAATAATTCCAAATAGTTTATTGGATATTCTGCCCTCAAAGAGGTGGAGCATAACTCCCCACTCCTTAATGGGCGGCATACAGTGACTCCTTCCAACAAGTACATTATGGAAAAAGCAAAAAAAAAAAAAAAAGAAAGAAAACTTTTGAGTGGAGAAACTGACAAACTACCTGAGCCAGATGATCAAGTGGTATATCATGTTGACAGAATGTACTCTGGTAACAGGTGATGAAAATGTCACTTCACCTCTATGGTCTTCCTCCCGAGGACAAAAAAAACCCCAGGCTAATCATAAAAAAAATGCCAGTCAGTTCTACATTGTTGGACATTCTACAAAACACCTGACCAGTAAGACCTAAAACCTGTCAAGGCTGTTAAAAACAAGGAAAGTTTGAGAAATTGTCACAGCCAAGAGGAGCCTAATAAGACATAGATGACTAAATGCAATGTGGTATCCTGGATGAGATCCTGGGACAGAAAAAGGACAGGAGGTAAAAAGCTAAGGAAATACCACTAAAGTATGGACCTTAGTTAATGATGAGGTATGCGTATTGGTTCATCAATTGTAGCAGATGCACCACACTAATTAAAATGCTAACAATAGGGGAAAGTGGGGGTAGGGTTTATGAGAAATCACTGTATTATCCCCAATGTTTTTCTGTAAGTTTAAAACAATCCTAAAATTTGATTTTTTTTTTTTTTTTGAGATTGAGACTCACTCTGTCGTCACCCAGGCTGGAGTGCAATGGCGCAATCCCAGCTCACTGCAACCTCCACCTCCTGAGTTCAAGTGATTCTCCTGCCTCGGCCTCCCGAGTAGCTGCGATTACAGGCGTGCACCACCGCACCCAGCTAATTTTGCATTTTTAGTAGAGACGGAGCTTCACTATGTTGTCCAGGCTGGTCTTGAACTCCCAACCTCAGGTAATCTGCCTACCTTGGCCTCCCAAAACGCTAGGATTACAGGTGTGAGCCACGACACTCGGCCTGAATGGTTATTTTTTAAAACTACAACTATACAGTATATACTATTTAGTTGAATCTGGAAACTTCTATATCTGTGGCACACAAAAACATCATCTGGCACACAGTAGTATCTTCATAAAATTATTGAAAATATGCCACCATTTGCTTCTTAGCAGAAAAACTTATTTTGTTTTCTTCTGTCTACATATGTAAGAAATTTTCCATCAGATATTTTTAAACTCAAAGCTTGTCACTAATAGAGTAATCAAATATTTGAAGAATGAAAGGGAAAAAACCCTGCTGAGAGAAGCACAGCAGGCATCAGCCTAGAAAAGCTGTTCCTGGCCGGATGCCTGCGTGGCCTCGACTGTGCCTGGGCTGTAGTCAAGCGGCCACCATGTGGCAGAGGGCTGTGACTGGGAGAAGCTGTAGAAAAAATGCATATCTGATCCCTTTTATATTAGTACTTCTCCTGAGGGGTTAAATGTGCATAAAAAAGAAAATCAGTGCTGGTGGATTTTTGATATTTTCCATCTAGGTGGAAGGTGTCGCCAGTGTCTGCGTTTTCCTGACTACATGGGGGTCCCTCAGGGAAAAGCAAACCCATGTATCTCTGTCCTATGATTCGGTGGTAACCTTTCATTTCTTCAAAAATAACATTGTATTATATGGAGAATTTGACAGACACTTCACAGCATCTTAATTTTCCAAGATGAGGAATACTTCCCTCAGACTGGAGGAAAATCCTAAGCTGGATTGCTTAATTAAATTCTCTTGAAAATTTCAAGTGCTAAGAAACACAAACTTAGGTCACTTCCTCTCAAGTGAGAGATGAAACTGCTACTAGTTTGTGTAGTGAATTAGAACATATTTACTGCACTGAGGAGGAATATTTCTCTCACACCCATTACACCCACATCTGTAAAAGGATCCCTGTGATACTCTGCCTCGGGGTCTTTATATCTTGTGCTTGTATTCCTCCCAGAGAATTCTGAAAAATATATGTGGCCTCTCACACATTTTGAAGTTTGCATCCTTAAATTTTTCATAATTTAAACAGTTTCAAAGAATGTAATTTGAGGTACCTTGAATATCTTGACACCAACACCCAGTGAAACGACTGTTCCCCAGCAGCAAGAAGTTTTCCTCCATGACTCTTCCACCACCCCCAAGAATTTCATCCTAATGGTACACATTTGAAAGTGGAAATGGCACGCATTTGAAAGTTTTTGCTTAAACCACAGGAACTTATTGGCAACAAAAATATACATATACCTTGAAATTGCAAAAATATTTTCTTCTGAATTGATTATACTCACTATTAGGATGCAACTGATCAAGACAATATAAGTGATTCTTAAACATAAGTGCAACTTCATTGGAAGGGCAACTCCTTCGCTGGACAAAATTTGGAATTTTCTTTTCTTTTTTTTTGAGACTGAGATTTGCTCTGTCACCCAGGCTGGAGTGCAATGGCATGATCTCGGCTCACTGCAACCTCCGCCTCTCAGGTTCAAGCGATTCTCCTGCCTTGGTCTCCCAAGTAGCTGGGATTACAGGCACACACCACCATGCCCGACTAATTTTTGTATTTTTAGTGGAGACAGGTTTTCACCATGTTGGCCAGGCTGGTCTTGAACTCCTGACCTCAGATGATCTGCCCGCCTCAGCCTCCCATAGTGCTGGGATTACAGGCGTGAGCCACCGCCCCTACCAAAATTTGGGATTTTCTGTCTATGTGACAGTTTGGAAATTTCTTAACCCCAAGACAATGCACCCAGCAGCCATTCTCAAAATGTGGTCAAAGAGATTTCTGGGGATTCCAGAGACCCTTTCAATAGTCCTCAGAGTCAAAACTATTTTCATAATAATAATAATGTATTACTTGCTCTTTTAATTCTCATTATCTCAGGAATGTATGATGGAATTTTCCAAAAGAATTTTCCAGAGGCTATACGGTACATGATGATGCCATAGCATAGATGTATTGGCCAATGAAATGTATACTTGTGTATTTTTGTGTTTTAAAAGTTTTCAGTTTTAATTTCTAATTCAGTAAATACAGATAGATATGACCCACATAAACAAGAACTCTGGTTCTTGATAATTTATGACTGTAAAAGGATCTTGAGGCTAAGCACAGTGGCTCGCTCCTGTAATCCCAGCACTTTAGGAGGCTGAGGCAGGAGGCTCACTTGAGTCCAGAAGTTCGAGAGTTACAGTCCAGAAGTTGCCCCAGCCTGGGGCAACATGGAGAAACCCCATCTCTACAAAAAATACAGAAACTAGCTGAGTGTTGTGACATGCGCCTGTAGTCCCAGTTACTTGGGAGGTTGAGATGGCTGAATCACCTGAGCCTAGGAGGTTGAGGCTGCAGAGAGCACTCCAGCCTGGGCGACAGAGTGAGGCACACACACGCGCGCACACACACACACACACACACACACACACACAAGGATCTTGAGACCAAAGCATTGAGAACTGATGCCTCATAGTGGTGATTCTAGACAGGTGAGAGAAGTCTTTTTTCTTTTGTAATGTAAGGAAGAGATGAAAGGAAAACAGGAGGTGGAAAGGGAGAACTGGCGAAGTATCTGGACTTTGGGCACTTTGTCAAGCATTGATTTTAAGAAAGAAGATAAACACAGGATGAAGATGAAGAGACACTGATCCCTCTAAGGGGTCTGTGTTCTGCTGATCACTGTTTCATGGTGAGGCCTCTGACACTGATTTTCAAGCCTTGGTATCACTTTTAACCTTCCAGATCCTAAGCTCCCAAGTGAGATGCCCATTTCATCCACAAGGCTGCATGAACTTGCAAAACCTGGCTTATATTTAGAAAAACTGGCTTTGGCTCAATCAGAAGACACAGGAAGTTACTAACTTATCCTTTTTATATATTGGAGGAGACATCTGCAGGTTAAAATTAGTCATCTGACTTCAATTATTCTTAAAAATTCTTAGGAAACCCTTGAATATAAACTACAAAATCACATTGCAAACTTGTCATAAGGGGAAGAGCCAGCCCTATGGTAAACAGGAGGTTTATTTCACTGAGATCCATTATCCAGTTATAGATCCTATAATAGGATCTTGTATTAGCAGAATTCAGGTCCAGTGGTCTTCATTCCTATCAGGCTTATCAATGCTGAAAGGGAAACATTATCACAGAACATGACTTCAGGTCAAATGGACAGTCATTTCTCCTGTGTGCTTCTTTTCATAGTGCACACAAGGTCAAAAAAACAATCTATAGCAAATGTCCTAGCACAAGACACCTACACCAAGTCTGAATTGCCTGGCAGTAACCACACAATGTATTAAAACAGTTTACAAGGTCAGGTGGTTAGCGCCCATATGCCAGCAGAGAGAAGAGGAAACTGGTTCAAACCAAAGGTAACTTTCTCCAAAACTAGACGGCACTTAGGCCAAACATAGTCTTCTTTGCTTAATTTTTTCTGCTAAACTTTCATGGCTTAACGGCACTGGCTTCCCAGCTAGACACTCGTTTATAAGCCTTGATTGACCATAGCAATGAGTGTACACTAGGAGAAGACAGCTCCCTCTCACTCGCCAGTTCTCTCTGTGGATAAACAATAACTACCAGACTGGAATAGACCTTGACATTTTATAGCCCCAAACCCTTGTGACTTTCCAGGGAGAAAAAGCATCCACCTCCTTAAGTCTCCACCCCACCACCCACTCTATCCTGAATGGTCCCGGGCACTGGAACCCCCACAATCTCCTGAGCCAGCTCCTCTTCTAGTGGGTAGGTCGTCCCCCTTATAGTAATTTCTCCTTTTCACCCAACTCCATTATGATGGTTCACGCCCCTCTTGCTTGGTCGTCTGCTGGTTTGAGAAAAGATATTTATGACACAGCTCTGAAACATATTTTTAAGGAACATTCAGTAACAGAATGTTCCCTTGAGGGAAGGACAATCGGATTGCTGAGGGAGCAACTCTTAAGAGCACAGTTGAGCCAGTTCTTTGAGTTCTCAATTAAGCAATCCTGCAAATTAACTAGATAAACAATTCTGTCCCTGCTTTCTTTTTTTTTTTTCCCCTTGTATCCATCTTTCTACCAAAGGAAGCAACAAATGGAAGATCATGCTGCGTAAGTGAGGTAGCTTCTTAACTTGGACCTCTCTATCTGCTCTGCATTCATCCACTTGACAAATATTTACTGAGTATTTACTACAAGCCAGACATTTTTTCCAGAAACTTTGGATATATCCACGAATAAAACAAAGATTCCCTCCCTTACAGAGCTCACATTTTCAGGGAGGGAAATGGGCAATATATAATAACCTTGATAAAAAAAAAGTAAGATGTATGATATATTAGAAGGTGATAAGTACTATGGAAAAATAGAAGACCATCAGAGGGCCAGGATGGGTGGGGAAGCAAGCTGTAATTTTAAATGATGGGTGGGGGGCATCAGAGGTGGTTCCTTGAGAAACGGCCTCTGAGGAAAGAGTTGGGGTGAGGAAAGGGGCCAAGTTGATACTTCGGGGCCTGGGGAGGTTCTAGGCAGAGGGAACATGTGGGAGAGGCCTTTGCCTGTTTCTCTTGTTGGGTGGCAAACCCAGAGCTCTGAGCAGAGAGCTGATATGATCTGACTTGTATCAGGATTGCTCCAGCTGCCATATGGAGAATAGACCTTAAGAAGACTGATCTCTTAATAGTTCCAAACGTTTTTCTAATACGTAAGATGGATATTAAAAATTGCCTAACTAGCCTGAGCAACATAGTGAGATCCTGTCTCTACAAAAAATTTGAAAACAGCTGTTTATCCCTGTAGTCCTAGCTACTTGGGTTGCTGAGGTGGGAGGATTGATTTGCTTAAGTGCATGAGTTTCGAGGTTACAATGAGTGGAGATGGCACCACTGCATATCAGCCTGGGTGACAAAGCAAGACAACAACAAAACTGCCTAATTATCACAGCTTGCTATGTGATTCAAAGTAATTCTTTACAGAAAGTACTGTGGGCATTATGAACTAATTTGTATAAATTCTAGTTATTATTACTCTTTCTGTTATTACAAGGATAGTAACAATTATATCCAACTAACTAAAACAAAAGCTAGCTTAGCTGTTTCCTAGATATGGATTTAAATATAAAATGGGTATTTTTTTTTAAAAAGAAAAGCCTGAAAGATCAACGCAAGCCCACCACTGTTAACAGAAAGGCAGGTCAAAATTGGCAATGAGTTAGTAACTTATTGCATATAAAAATAAAAACAAAATATAAAAATTTAAAAATATATGCCAGAGCTGGAGCTCTTACCTGCTAACTTAGAAAGCACTCCACCATTGAACACCATGAAGCTAAAGCTCTTTGCAGTTCTGCTCTTTATTTTGAGATTTGGTTTTGCCCATGATAAAAATTCTTTAAAAAAGAAACTTTTTATTTTGAAATAACTTTAGACTTACAAGAAGTTGCAAAAATAGCAGAGTTACTGTGCACCCTTCACCCAGCTTTACCCAATGATAAGATCTTACGTAACCATGGTATAATGATCAAAACAGGAAAGTGACTTTGGTACAACAGTATTAACTAAAATACAGGCCTCACTAAGATTTTACCAGTTTCTGCTTTGTTTTATTTTGGGGGGAAGAATGAGTGTATAGGTTTATGAAATTTTATGACAGGTACAGATTTGTGGCTACACAACTGTTCCATCACCAAAAAGAAGCTCCCTCATTCTACCCCTTAAAGGAACATCCTATCCCCAAACCTAACCCCTGAAATTGTTCTGATATGTTCTCCATTACCAAAATTTTGTCCTTTTGAGAATGTTATCTAAATGGAATCATACAGCACACAACCTTTGAGATTGGCTTTGTTCACTCAGAATAACATCCTTTAGACAAATTACTTCTTTGCTCATGTTCCTTAAAGAAAGCTCATACAACACAGAGGAAAAATAAAAACTTGTATCGAGAGAAAAGGCATACGACCTTCCCATTCATAAACAATGCTTGCTCAAAGCAGTCCAAACAATCAGCTATTTAAACCAATTAGCATTCCCTCAGTAGAAGGGGTCGGCAAAGTTTACTTAGAGGTCAATTTCAGATAGAATGGCGTCTCCCTGCCAACACTCGCTGCTTTATTTACATCAGCATGTCAGGGGCGGCTGCTCAGCACAAAGCCCCCAAAAGCTGACCTCAGCACCCAC